CCCCAACCCCAACCCCAACCCCAACCCCAAACCCAACCCCAAACCCAACCCCAAACCCAACCCCAAACTCTAATAGCTTCACATAATAACAATCTTTTTTGATGATTACTGATATAAAAATTCAATCGGAGAAAGTAAAGGGTTTATAAAGTTAGAATAACAAAAAATTGTTTTGCGCCAGAAATAGGTAATATAATATTATTAATTCTTTATGGAGCATCATATTAATAAAGCAAAGAAAATTTTAATCATTTTTTGGAATGAGTAGAATTTAATAATCTTATTAAACCAAAAGAAATATAGAAAAATAGGATTAACAAAGATGATATTTAAAATAAATTAAAAGTGAAATAGAGCTACTTATAAGGTAATATATTAATTTTTGATAATTATAAAAATAATCTTATTCAATAATCATCGACTATTTCAATACAAGAATGAACTAGAAAAACTACAAGATATAAAGCTTGTGAAGTGTCAGTGTCAATTGAGAATTGCTATATTATTATGTTATTTATTTACTCCTTGTTATGATGATCTTAGGTTTTAAGCGATTAATTTTTTCTCATTCATTCTTATGTCAAGTAAAACAGTATCCTTCTTATTAAATTAAAAGTATTATTCATATAACTATCTGTTTTTTGGCTATCCATATTAATCCTTTAAACCGAAACCTAAATTAATTTAACCATCTATTTTTATAACTCGAAATGCAAATTTTACATTTTGATTTAATGGAATGCTAGGCTCGCACAAAACATCACCACCACCTGCTGCTGATGCTATCTTTCCATCATTTTTAATATTAACTTAATAGTTTTTTATAAATTGAAATGACACTTTTTAATATGAAGAGTCTATATTTTATTAAAATGGTGTGGGTTAATTTTATATTTAAGGATAATATTGATTCTATTATTATTAAAATTATTATAATTAATTTGATTGCTATGATTAATATTATTCTATTTATTGTTTTAATTTTTAATTTTATAATTTTTATTTTTCTATTTGTTAATTTAAATATTCCTACTCTTATTTAAATTAGTTTATTTATTCTAATTAAACTTATATTTAATCTTATTGTTATTTGATTTAATTAATATATTAATTAATTTCTTAATCTTTTTCTTTATTTTCTTAAACAATTATTTTTATTTTAGTTTTTTCTCCTAGAGATTGAACATTTTTGATATTTTCAGGATTATTGGATTTAATTTAATTAATTTTGTTAATCTCTAATTTTAAATTACTTAAATCATCATTTAATTTTGATATTAAAGGAATTAATGAAAGTTTTGATATTGAAATTCTAATTAATTTGTTAATTTAATCTTTCATAACTTCTTATGATACTTATGAATAATCTATTTATTAATTTATATTAATTGAAACTAAAAACTTTGATAATCCTTCACTTAATTAGTTTATTTCATTAATAAATGTTTTTAAGTCTTAATATGTATTCATTTATAATTTTATCCATTCATTTAATTATTTAAATGTTTTTAAATCATTAGTATGTTAAATATGATGTTTTATTATACAATGATGACAATAAGATCTTGAATATTTGCAATCTATTTTTAAACATGCTCCAATTATCGGACTTTCTTCATGATCTTCATATTAACAAAATTATGACATTATTATTTTATTTTATTTATTCAAATTCTATCATTCATTTTTATCAATAATATAACACAAAAATATCAATATATTTTCTTTATTAAACATTTATGAATAAAATAAAAACAAATTATAGAATAAATTTGGTTTATCAATTTTAAGATTTTCAATCATTCTTATTAATTAAGGAATTCAAACAATTTTAATTTTTTATGCCAAAAAGTAAAACAAATTCTTTCATTATTTTTAATTATATCAGCTTTTTAAAAAATATCCTTATTATTTATTAATATTAGTAAGTTTTTAATTGCTCTAACTAATATATTAAAATGTCTATAAATTATATTTTATTTAAATAATTATTTTCCAATTCACAAATCAGTGTAATGATTTAGAAAAAGTAAATCTAATATAATTGGTAAAAGCTTATCACAAAAGACTTTTATTTTATCGATAAGCTTCTAAAAAGTTATTAGAAAGACAATTAAAAACAAATTGCATTAATATTGTAATGTCAGGATAATAGCAATATTCATGTTTACAGTTAATAGTATTGTTTTAAGTATCTTCCCTATTCTAAACTTCAAGATTTAAGTATATTAAAAATGAATTATTCTTTGTTTCACTCATTATTTGATAATTAACAGAACTTTTCAATTTATTCCAATAATATTATTAAACTTATTTATTCTTTCTTTTTTTAATGCTTATAGAGAATTAATACTATATTTTTTTGAACAATGACATAATTTCTGACTTTTTATAATTATATAATTGAACATACACTAATTTATTATTAATTTTTATATTTAAAGCTCTTTTATGTTCTCTAAACAATCAGCTCAAATAAATCAATCTTTCCATTCCTTATGTTTATCAACATATTTTATCTATTAATTATTAATCTATATTAAAGAAATCAATCTCTTTTAAATGTATGATTTAATAATTAAAATTTCCTAATATTAATTATTCTTATATATGAGAATTATAAAAATTAAAACTCAAAAACAATAATTGATTTGTTATTGATTATAATTAAACATAATATTCGAAATTAATATAAATAGAAATTCAATAGTAATTTGGAAATAATTTTTAATTTTAACTCTCTTTATTTTCATTAGATCTGCTAAAATATCACTTAATAGAAATCATTAATAAGATATTAATAAATATCTATTCAAATAGAGGGCAATTTACTAATTTGATCTAAGGGAAATCAAGAATAATTATAGCGGACAAAGGTTAATTAACATCCCATTATTTATAAATAGTTTGAGCAACGTATTAAATGTTTATAAGAGATTAAGCATTTTGTTAATTTTGTATTATTGGATACCTAGTATTCTGATTTACATTTTCAGAATAATTTTTTTTTATTTATTAGCATTTTCTTATGAATTTTCATCTTAAGAATAAAATTGGATTAAAGTGAATAACAATTTAGAATAGATTCGCGACTTTAAGTTAGAGATTATAAAAGGAATTAGGAATTCAAAATTAATTTAAGCAAAAAGAGAAGTATGATGAATGTCATCTAATTCTTCTTCTCATTAATCAATCATTTAGAAGATTGCTTCAACCAATTCTGTCAAAGCACCACTGCTACCTAATTCAACTTCTGCGAATTCCACAAAAAAAGAAGCCCATTAAGATTTTTTTCATTTATTCATCACTTATTCAAAACACCCAATATTAAGCAAATCAAAATTCCTGTTATCATTATATTAAATAATAAAAACGAATATTCAAATTTATCCATTAAATGTTATCAAAATTCAAGATTTTTGTTAAAAATTTTTTTTTTTAAATAAAAACATAAGGAAAATCAGATCACATTTTTTTTTCGATAATTTTCAAAAAATGCGAACGAGTTTTAAAGACACTTTTAGACCAACCCTAACCGTACTTTGAATAAAAATATATTTTGTAATTTTATGTAGATTTTACCAATCAGATATTGATTTTCTTAGTGAAAATCAAAAACCAATAACTGAAGAATTAAAAAAATTTTGAAGAGTTTTTTTATTTTTGCTCTATTAGTAGGTGTTTAGTCAAACCCAATAAGGTGCTTTTAATTCTTGGCCGATGTTTTTTTTCATTTAATTTTAATCAAACAGAATCCAATAATTGTACCCAGTGTACTTGGAATGTAATTATTTTATAATAACATGTAGACTTTACCAAACTCAAACCTCGACATTACTTCTGATAATTAAAGAGGGACTGATTAATAATTTTTTCAAATTGACAAAATATCTTGCTATGTCATGATATATTAATAAGAAATCAAGTATATAAATAGAATCAGCATGATATGAGAATACTTTGAGCTTTGCTAATTATTTATTAATATAATAATAATAATAATTTAAAATTTAATTTATAGTTTTAATAATAAAAATACTTTAATTTTCAAATTATTATTTTTTCAGATATAATTTTAATAGCCTTTTTTACAATTTCCATAATTGTATTCAAATTGACAGCTTTAATTTACTTATTTGTTGCTTGCTTATTTAATCCTAAACTTCCAATCATAGGTAATAATGCATTAACAATAGCTGCAAATGTACCTGGAATGGCTAAAGCCTTAACCCCTATTAATATAAATGTGAGCACAAGACCCAAATATATAACCACTATCAATAATCCTAAAAATAATTGTTACTTTGAAATTCCAAGATATGTTAAACTAAGAAGTAAAGACTATGTTGTTAATTATTGCATGATTTCTTTGAATTCATAAAAATCAATTAAACATGTTTCCATATTTAATGCCTCTCCTTTAATTTACACTAAAATTTCCCTTAATTTATGGTCTGTGATGTCCATATGAAGTCTTTTCAAAAATTATAATATATCTTCAGGTTTTACTACTCTCCTACCTTGTTTGTCAAGAATTTTAAATAGATCATCAAAACTCAAATCAGTATTTTCTTCAATTTTCTTTGAAATAAAACCTAGATTTTTGTGATGACTTGATGAATCTATACGAGACATGAAATCTAGTTTTTCCTTAATAAATTTTGTTGGTGTTTAAATTGAAATTAGAAAATCTTACATAAAATTCGTGATATTCTCTTTGTTAAATTCATCATTTTAAAATAGTGAATAAAATTCATTTGAAATTTCAGAAAAACGTTTATTTTTTATTGATATAATCGTTTTTGTGCATGCTTTAAACAATTACAGTTTTTCTTTTGTGTCTTTTTCAAAAATCTTTTTAAAAATTATTTCTATCAAACCGAATACTTTTTCCTCTGAAAATTTATCAATTTAATTTTATAAAATGGCTACCGAATCCTTTAATTATTATGCAATATCTAATAACTTATTTATTGGATGTTATTCTTACAATATTGGGTGTTCTTCTTTTTATACTATCTATATAAGTAATTTCTTCAAACTTTCTATATTATTCGATTTTTAAAACTCAAATAATTCATCTAAAATTAGTCTATTTTTGTTATTTTAAAGTTAATCTTTTTCTCCATAAATTGTGTTGACTCTATTTTTAATCACCTTCTAAGTTAAATATTGAATTTCTTCTAGTGTCCTCTCAGTATCTTATTGAGGCTATTCTTATTATTTAATTACTTCAAGTTGATTGATGTTTATCTTTTAAAATTTTTATAACCCTCTCACCTCATTAATGAAACCTATTTAATCATTGGATTTCAAATTATTTGAATTCTTAACCCATGAAATCAATCTCTGAAAAATACGAACTAAAATCTTTTTATCACTAATTTCTATCTTTTCTTAAAATAGAAAATTATTTAAACCTTCTATTTCTATGCAAAGGTATTTTTATAGATTTTCCTCCTTAAAGATTAAATTAATAAAATATTAAGAAATTTCTTTAAATTCCGAGTAATCTTTTAATATTTCTGTTTAAATTTTTTTAAATTGTTCTATATTTTAATTTTGATTTTGGTTTTTTTATTCAATCAAATTTTAAGTCCAAATGAATGGATATAATACTATATCTGGTGATTCAGGGATCTTATCCTAATGTTTGTATAGACTGATTGATGTTAAAAGTGGTAGATAATGATAAAACTCTTTCAACTGCAAAGCTTCAAAAAATTGATAAATGTGATCAATAGCAACATTAACATTTTTTGAAAAATCAGTAAAAATCATTCCCTTTATAAATACCCAAGCTCCTTTATTCTTGTCTTCTTCTAACACTTGAATTTTTGTTTCATATTCAATTTCTTTAGGTTTCTTTACTAAACTTGACAATAAAAAGTTTAATATATAACTTAACTCATCTTGATTTTTCTATATTATTATGCTTAAATATTTTTCAATCATTTCATAAAAACATTTTTAATACATACTGGAATCTAGTAGAAAATCGAAATTTTATTATACTATGCTTTCATAATAATAATTAAAGATGTTCTTGCAAAAATCAAATTCCGACTGATCCTTAAGTCCTTCTACTCTACTAAGCATATCCTCTAAAGAAGTTTGTATTAATGAAAATAGATTACATTTCGTATTTAATCTTAACAACTCCTAAAATGAAGTTGATTGTATTTTTTCCTGTGTTATTTTATTATTTGGTTATCTTTATACTTTTACTTAAGCCAGTAAATCAAAAATAACATTTCTGATAAAACTTAATTACTCACTTTTAAATTTTGATAATTCTATGATTTGATTGACTAAGGTATACCAAGCTTCAATATCTCCAAGAAAGCATCTGAACAAAATTTTTAAGGAAAATTTTAAAGTATCCTAAATATCTTTGCAATTATCAATTAAATTTCCCAAGGCCAAACTAAGCCTTTTATTGTTTTGTTCTTCTTCTTGATATAATAAATTTATATCTCCAAGTGATAAATATAAATAATAACTAGGAATGAATTATAATGCATCATTATATTCTGCTGTGGATCGAAACTGCTCTAATCTTAATCTTACTTATACAGTTATGATATCAATAAAAATGGAATTCTTTCCTTCATCCCAGATTTGATATATATTTTCTTTATCTAAACCCTTTGGATTATAAATTAAGTTTATTAAAAAACTTAATTATGGTTTTTAGACTGAACCCAAAAATTATTTAATTAATTTTACTACAAGTTATTAAAAAGTTAAACTATTTTCACCTGATTACACTTTTTCTTAATTTGAAAATGTAAAATCTACTGCATAATAAAGCATTAATGATGATATTAATTCAATATTAGTGCCATTTTAAGCCATTAAATTTATTGATTTTTTGCAATCTTCTTCTATAATGAAAGCATATTCATTACTTTTAAAATTCTCCAAATTAGCTATCAACGTATGTAAAATAGACTTATTTTTATAAAAATCTTGTTCTATTAAATTTATTTCATGTGGATTTTAAATGCAGGTTTCGAAACATCTAATATAAGATGTTTTTTTCAATAAATCTTTCCAAAATTATTACAATAAAGTTTTATTAAAATTTATTGAAAATTAACAATACACTGGAAAGTATTGATCAATATTTTCAAAAATAATATTGCCTTTTTTTTAACCTTTATTTATAACTCCTAAACTTGGATATTAGACTAAATTATCAAATATATGTCCAACATTTTGATCTTTAAGCTCTTCTGACCCAAAAATGCCTAAATAAATTAATTTTATTGTATCTTCAAAATTAAAATTGAGGAACTCTTTCTGATGATTAAAAACTAAATTTCTTTCATAAATGATTATAGCTATCGACAACAGCTCTTTTATTTTATTAGATTTTTCAAATATATTATTTTTATTAGATTAATCTTTTCTCTTTTCTTTCAATAACGATTATTTTATTTATCTAATTTATTTTAAGACATTTATAAAAATTATTTATGATAAAGGAAATAGCTTTGAAAATGAAGACTTACCTATAGAAGACAATTATTTCCATATTTCATCAAAACTAGCAATTTCATTATTATTGTCTTCATTTTGAAATTCTAAATCATTTTGAAAAGATTATTTTTCCTGATCATCTATTTTAATATTTAAAAACTTCACCAAATTCATCTTCGCTTCATTACAAAAAGATTAAAAGTATGTTTTAAATGTCTCAAATTCAATTATTATTAACATTTTTTCGCAATCTAATTATGATAGAACTTTTAATAAATCAGTAAATTGATCATAAACCCTTCCATATTTAAATTTTTCTTAAATATAATCACCAAATGGATTATTTTCCAAATTGTCTTAAAATATTGCATTAATTAAGATTTAATCTAATCCTATTGCTAATTCTAAAAATAAAAAAGCTTCTTGTAAATCTTTATTACATTTTTAGGCTATATAAAAAAGGGACTATTCAATCTTTTTAGTAAGTTCCTTAGCTTCAATAGCTTCCTTGATTTCAGAAAGTTGTTCAACTTTTTGAGAAAGTTCCTGAATTTGTTTTTATCTATGCAAAATAAAATCAAAAGATTTTTCTTTGTATCTGTCAAACTTATCATATTTGGCTATACCTAAAATTCCGGAGACTAAAAAAGATGTAAGTTCATATTTTTTTAATATTTCAATATTATTTAATAAGAATATGAAATTAAAAGGCCTAGGATGAGCAAAATAATTTAACACTTCTAAAGTATTCTCATCAATGTTTGTCTATTTTTCTTTATATATATTCTATCTTTACATTGATAACTAATCATATTGATCTTAAAAGTTTTCCCATGATTTTCCATCTCTTATTTACATTTTAAAAGCAAAAACCATTTTTAATAATTATTAATCAACTTTTTTAAGTTTTAATTTCTCAATCAACATTTCTGGATCAACTGAATTATAATCAAGAATTTAGGCTATCTCAATTACAATTTGAAAATCTTCAATTTAAAACTTTTTTTTGAGTATTTGTTAAATTTCTATTTCTTCAAGAAAGATTGATTTGTTTCTGGAAAACATACAATTAACCAAAAGGTTTGTAAGCTTTAATTCTGATTTATTCAAATAATAAATAGAATTTAATTCTTCATAGTCATATTTTGATGACATTAAACTAAATAGAGCTAAAATTGCCTTTTAATTTTGTTTTTCCTTTCTTACAATTTTATTGCAGTGAATTTAAACTAATTCAATAAATATATTTATATCAAAAGTTAAAAAATATTTTAAATAATCTCCTACAATAGTAAAGATGTTTGTTGATACATTTAAATTTTTTTTTGAAAAAATAGCTTCCCGTTATATAAATCCCTCAACTAATTAAAGTGCTACATCAACTACACTCTTCTTTGATGCATTTTTAAATATATTTGATACATAATTTTTAGGTAATTAAAATACAATATTATAATCTTTGTCAAAAATTTCTATGATAATTGATTTATACAGTTATTTTTGTTTAGAAAATGTTGGTTTAGAAAAATTTGGTTCAAAATTTAATAATGATTCTTCAATAGCTTAATCTCTTATACTTTTATCTTCTGAATATAATAAATTTATCATTGGTTCAACAAAAGGAATAAAATTTTCCAACATTTTTTTTGCATTTGCATTTATATTCATTTTAAATCTTGATCTTTTATTTATTGTAATTTATCCATTTATAATAAATTCTGGTAATTCAAATTTTAAAATACGTAAAATATCCTTGTAAAAACAACAATCTAATCCTTATGTTGTTTAAAATATTTGATCAATAAATAAAGGTGTAAGTCTATTTGATTGATAAGGAATTATTTATTGAAGTAAAGAAGTTGCACTTGATACAGTTTATTCAATCTAACTTATTTTGGAGATATATGACAGGATTTTTTTCATTTAAATATTGTATTCACTTGATTGATTTTGTATAACAAAAAAATCTATGGCTTTTTACATTTTTTCTATGTTTTCTATATCCTTTAAGTATAAAATATAACTTAGATTTTCAAAACCTTTATCGAAATTACTAGTTGCATCTTCAAAATCCAAATCATTCTACCTCAATATACAATCTTGTTTTTTCAAAATCTCAAATAAAAACATTGGTAGATCTTCTTCATTCGTTAACAAATCAATAAAATTATTATTTTAATTTTTTTTCTTAATATCTAATAGATAATTATAAAAAGTTAGCTTTGAAGAATGATATCTATTTAAATCTCCTTTTTCGGCATTTTCTTATTATTACAGACCATTTTCGTTTTATTACTGATTATTTATATTTTGAATATCTTTTTGATTAAAACTATAGCCAAATTCTAGAGAATACTTTTTATAGTTTTTCATCACTTCTTCATTAAAGTATTATTTTTATTTAATTAATTTTTCCCTTTAAGTTGAATTCATAGTCTTTTTGGAATCTTCATTAAGGAGTTAATAAGTTGTGTAAATGAAATTTCCATTGAATAATTAAAAAGTATCTATATCCCCTTATTTAATCACCATATCAATAAATTCTTTAATTAATTTTTGTGAAAGTGGTATATCTTAATTTGATAATAAAAAAGGAAATATATCTTCAAAATTAGTTTTAGAGAGAAGTTCTATAACAAATTTGATTTTTTTCACCTAATCTTCAATTATTTTAGAATTAGATTAAGAAATCTGTTAACTCTTTTAGGAAATTTCAATATATATCTATTCTAAATATTTAGATTGATTTGAAATCTCATTTTTCAAAATTAAAATAAGTCCTATCACAGCATTTTCAGAAAAATCTAGAGTTGATGAAATAAGTTTGATAAGACTTCGATTGGACAACTTTTCCTCTCTTTTATCTATTGAATTATATGTTTTTATTTATGAATTTCCTTCAAAATATTTAGAAGACCATAAAAAATTACTTCTAATATACAAAATATCATAAAACAATTCTAAATAATAACCGTCTAAATTTATTTAAAATTCATTTTTCCACCTTTTTGTGCATAATGAAATATATATTAAGCCAACCTCTTTAAAAGGATTTCGAATAAATAAATCAAAATCATTCCTTAGATAATTAACTATAAACTTAAATTTATGGTATAGAGCTGCTTTTTAGTTTGAAATTTAATAAGTTTTTTCTGGATTTAATCGATCCTAAAGCTATTAAAATATCTTGCATAAAAACTAAGAGCACGATTTACATTTATTTTAATTCAAGACCTCTTAAGAGATGATTAAATATTACTAATTATTAAATAGAAATTAATAAAGGAAGTTAAATTTTTGATCAATGTCAGAAAAAGCAAATAGTTAAAATGTGTAGTCATTTTTTATTTATTCTAATTCGTTACTTTTTTTATTTATATTACTAAATTTCATAAAAAATTTTAAAGTATATTTTTCAAGTTTAAATTATGTATCAATAGGTTGATTTATAATTTCTTAAATTTTTGCAAATTAAGAAAGAATATTTTTTTCTGATGAGTTTATCAAAAGTTCCTAAAATACAAGCATGATATTCTTATCTAATTATTCCATTTTCTCTTTACTTAACACTATTTCTATAAATAGTTTTATTAAATCTTAATGGATTTATTTAACAAATTCAATTAAAAGATTTTTTCCTGTCTAAGTATGAATTTAACGTATTAAATTATAAAATTAAGTCAAAGTTGAATATAACCACTTTAAAATAGGATAAGGTATTGTAGTTTTTGATTCTATTTCTTTCAATAACCCTTCAACAATTTCATCAGAGTTTGTAAATAATGATTTCTATAACAACTTAGCCAAACTTTCTGGAATTTTAAACTATTCTATCATTTTTTCTAGAAATATTTCAGATGAAGTTTAGATAAATGTTTCTTTCATTTTTTATAATTTCAATTAATTTTAAGCAAAATCCAAAGGTTCAGAATTTTCAGCTATTTAATTAGACATATTACATAATTCTTCTAATTTATCCCCAAAACCTAAATTATTTGCAAATTATTTAGCTTCTTTCATACCTTTAGATGTAATAATAGATATTGAAGTATCTAATAATCTTTATAGTTCTTTAATTATTGGTCGTATTAATAATGAAAAAGTTTAGGATTAAATATTTTTTATAAGTTTATTGATTTCTTCACAAGTCATTTCATAAGTTTCTTTAATTTAATTTATTTATGCTGTGATAAAAGCAACCAAAGATAAAGCTGATGAAGAGTAAACAAGATAAAAATTTGGATTAATTATTGATCCTAATAACAGCCAAACAATTATTAAACCAAAATAGAAAAACACACAAAATGCTAATATTAAAAATATATACCACTACAAATATATAAAAGTACGCTTTTTAAGTAAGTTTTGCTCAATCATATAACTATTTTCAAAAGGAAATGTTGAATAACAATACTATAGTATTTAGAGTAAGGCAGTTAATATGGTATAACAAATTAAAACAATAAAAAAAGCATAAAACCATGAATCAAAGTGCCTAAAATAATCAAAGATTATCCAAGGTCTAAAGTATATATCTTCAATATAAAGTAAAGTTTCTGGAGTATAAATTGAATATGATGAATATGATGTGTTAATTATAATTATAAAGTATAATAAAGGTAAAATTGTAATCGCTCCAATAATAGAATTTCCTAAGACAATAATAACGTCATTCACCATCCATCCATGCATGTAAATTAATTCAAAATATTTCACCAAAATATTACTTCTTTCATAATTAAAAATAGGGTAATAATAATTGATATTGTAAATAATACTCTATAAAAATAAAGAAGATTAATTGTAAGACTCTTTTAATTTATCTCTTTCAATTTATTTAATTGGATTTAATTAAAATTACATTGATTCTTGATTATTTCCATCAAACATTTACTCTTGATTTTATTCTTCTTATCTTCTTAATATATAAACTGGCTTTTTGAATTAACTTTGTTCTAATCTCTCATTCCTTACAAATTATGCTAGAAAATTAAATTCACTTTTGGTAAAAGCATGATTTCCATCTTCTTGTGAAAATGGAATCTTAGATAATTAAATTATTTTTTTATCTGTAATTTGGAAATTGTAGTTGTTTGAAATCTATTCAATGTTAAATTATTCAACTTTTATATAATTTCCACAAAATTTTAAATAAGCTTAATAAAGAACATCAGAATTCAGAGTATCTGCAGGAATGCCTGTTAATAAACATTAGGTTTAGAAAAATATTTCAAGAGAATTTATATTTAATATTTCTTCTAAACTTAATTATTAATATGGTTTTGCATTAGGGTTTAATTTAATTTTTGATAGAACTAATATATTCTATTTTTCAGCAAACTCAAAATGATAATTATAATAAAAAGTATTTTCATATTATGACAAAGATTCAATAGTCATTTTATTTAAATAGCAAAATTATTCATACCTCTCTTTAATTTCTTCTTAATCAATACTTAAATATTTTTCATCTAATTCATTAGCATAATATTATTCAGTCTCATTTTAATTACTCAATTTAAATAACGTAGGAATAAAAATAGAAGGGGATGATTTGAGTTAATTTTACGCAAACTAATAATAAATATAAGTAAATATTGGCATAATTAAAGGTGGATCTCTTTTATCAGGCTATTTTTATAATTTTTCCATTAAATCCTTGACAATATCATTAGTGTTTTTTGGTACATAGCCTGTAGTTGTAACACTGTAAAGTTGATATTAAGAGCATGAATTTAGAACATAAACTTCTAATACTTTTAGTATTTCTTTTAAAAAATATATACTTACTATAGCGAATATCAATGAAGATATTAATGATAGTGTTATTGCTGCTATAAAATTTTGATCATATTTCAAGTATTCATAAACAATAGTATTAGCTACATTATTTAATATCAACCAATTTTCAAATTAACCAATTTATTTTTATTACAAATACGTTAAACCAAAATAATTCTAATTTTCATTTAATTTTTCATCTGTTCTTAAAGAATCATCAACATCTATATAAATAGCTTCTCCATAAGTTGTGTTGAATGATTGTTTTATTAAACTTTTTATTTACATTTTTTCTTTTGAAGTTAAAACAGGATTCCATGGACAAATCCCTGGTTTAATAGAAACAGTAAGATGTGTAAAAGTTGGATTTAAAAATCCAGCTGAAAATGCTGATAGCCACCAAGGTTAAAAATTTGCATAAGAAGGATTACTAAAAAATGACCAATGTGTAGTATATGAATGTTATAATAAATAATTTCCAACTACATCTATTCTTACACCAACATCAGCAGATCCACTATTATTCATAAACTATTAAATTGCGATTAGTGAATCTTCATCGAAGTCAATTTATTTTTTAAATATTTAAGTTGAAAATATTTCAATTTTATCACTTTCTACTATTAATGGTTTTCCAATATCATATAATATATTAGCATAAATAGTAGCTTGATTTCCTATCACTTAAATCTTTTATTCAATATCACAAGAATTCTTTTCACAAATAGATATTTAACCTTTACATATATTTTCAATAATTGTAGCATTCTATGATGCTGAAACATAACAATTTTCTTAGACTTAATCAATTAATTAAAATCCTCTTGCACAAACTGCATGTGATTAAGAAGTATAAATTAATTAAAAAGATTTAGTTGATTAAATCACTAATTATCCATTAGCCATAGATATATAACCCTCTTTAGTTAAAATATGATTCACAAAAAGTATCCCAGCAGAATCAGATATAAATGTGAAATTATTCGTTTGAATATTTCTTATATTCATTTACATTCTTGCACTTTTTTCACATGTTGCATTAAAATTGTCTTATACTTATAATTCTTATTAAGCAAACACAATAATGCACTCGGAATCAACTGAACATAAAATATGTAAATTATTCATATTTCTTGGTAACATTAAATCTACTATACAAGACCGTACCTACAATAATTTTATATTATTACATCAGGATAAGGATTTTAAAATTATATATATGCCATCCCATTATTAATTATTTCTCCCTTTATTAAAAATTCTTTTGATGCTTTTAGCTATTCTTCTAAACTTCCTTTTCCATACGCTTTGAACTTAATTATATAATAAAAACTAATACTTTTAGATAATCTTCAGAATCACTAATATTTAAAAAACAATTCCCTGTATAAATTGTAATATTATCTATTACTTCGTTAGCATTCCAATAATAATCTTTTACTGTAGTAAAGTATCCCCATAAGAAAAATCCAATCAATACACCAATAACACAAAATTGAAAACAAAGTCGATTCAGTTTTCTCAGAAAAATCATCCCATCATAAAGTCTAAAAATTAATTCATCATTACCTTTATTCATCTATGTTATTATTTTATTAATCTTATTGATAATCTTAATTTGGTTGCTCTAAATCTCGACTCCATTAAATTAACCTTGACTCATTATCTTTAAATTTATTTTCTTTTTCTTATATCATTTCTAAAAATTTCTCCCCAACCTTAATCTACATTTCTTGTTTTGCTCTTTTACTTGACTTTACTTTGAAATAAGACATAAAAAGAATTTTTTATTAATCTTCCTTAATTATTAAGATAAAACTTTTAAAACAATTATTTTTAGTAGTTACAATATTTAAATCATAATCATAACTCAAACCACTAAACTACTGTTGCTCTAACAATAGATCTTTTAGAAAACAATTATAATTACAAATGTTTACTATAAGAAACTTATCGCCTCCTTAATTCTCAAATAATAATTCATATATTATTCATTTAATGCTTTGATTTTACTATTTCATATCTGCAGAATATAAATATATTAAACCTTAGAATAAAATAAGTCAATGCAAATAGAATTACTGAATAAAAAATAATAACACAAAAATTCTATTTTTTTTGTATCAGTATATTTTTTATAATTAATAATTTTAATAACTTTTAATAGAAGATAACTTAATTAATAATATTTTCTTGATACTGAGGTGTTCATTCAATAAGTGATACTTTATAATATAGTTAGATAAGATTATTTAATTTCAAAATTTTTCTATCAAGAGTATAAATAAATTTGATTTCATTATTAAACATTCATGCTAAAATTGGTTTAACAATAAATTTAGAAATTCATAATTTATAAAACACTTTGTAAATTCTCAGTCTGTCAGTTTTTTAATAATGCTGCAAGTTTTATTTAAATCTTTCACAATAACCATTATCTCAATTGCAAACCTTAAAATTTTGAATTTTTTCTATTGTCATTTTAATAGTGTGAGTTTAAGCATTCAAAATATTAATGTTGACTATATAAATTTTGACAGTATATTCCATTTAATATACTCATTTATGAATTATGAATTGTCAAACTTATTTAAAAATTATTGATTCCAATCACAAATAATTCTTACATACTGGGCTTATCAAAAAGAAATAATTATTATAATGAGAAGCATTAAAGCGAGTTTTTACTTTCAAGAATTTTTATTCTGTTTAAGACAATATAATTTATGTAAAATAAGAATTGACGTTTATGTCAAAAATTTTAAATTATGAAAATATAGCGTTATAAAGAGATATGTAAAATAAAATATATATAAATGAAATAAGAACAAAAAAGGGTAAAATGAGATAACTTTTATAATATTTAATTAGAATGATGATTGATATGAGAAATTGATGAATGATTATTTATTTTAATTATAATTTAATTTTTTGATTCTTCATATAATAAAAGAAATGAAAAATTGTGGTTTTTAAAATTTTCACAACATAACAACTTTTTTTCATTTCTAATTATGCATTATTAATATATGAATAATATGATATTAGATATACATAGCTCCAAATCCAATTAAATTTACATATAGTTGCCACTCACTCTTCAAGTAACTATACCTTTGGCAGACATTTGAACTAATTTAGTTATTTGTGACTCATTAAATGAAACAATCAAATTCTATTAATTACAGAAGAAATATATTTATTAGTTATTACAACATTTATATACTAACCTTAACAAGAATCTTACACATAATACCAAAATCTTTAATTATAATCTTAAAGAATTTATGATTATTTTACTTTTGCTAAACAAAATATATAAAGATTCAATTAGAAATTGTTTAAACTATTCTAAAAACAAAACTTAAGACTATGTCTTTTTTTATTACAATTAAATTAAAAAGTCAAAATTGATCAATTTTATTATTATAATTTTTATATATATTTTTATTGCTTAAGCACAAAACAATAATTAAGACATAAATTAATAATTATCTAGATTTCTTCTTTGTTGATTTCTAAATTAAATCATCTTTATTGCTTTTCTAACTTAAAATAGTAGTAAATCACTTCCATTACTTCATTTGTTTCCAAGTTTGTTATTTACATTTATATGAAAATCGAGAATATAGATTATAATTTACTTTAAAAAATTTTAACAAAAAATAAATATATTTACCCTCTAATTTTCTATCAAATTCATAGAAATTAAATATATTTTGATGAATAGTAGAATTAATCAAAAATAAAATAGTAAAAAATTTACTTAACTTTGAAATAATCTTTTAATCAAACTTTATTTAATTGTTTATATATCATTTTATAAATCTTTGATTCTTTATTTGATAAAAAATAATATAAATATTTAGAATGTATGACAAGCTCATTAATCTAATCCAAATCAAGTTTGATCGAATGTTAAAAAACTAAAAAAATTACTTTAAGCCTTTTACTTTTTATGAAAAATTTCAATTTAGGTAATCATTAACTTTGATTAGGAAAAATTTAATTGGAAGCTTTACTTAATATAAAAACAGCAGATCATCCTTAAGAACACTAAGAAATGTAATAACTGATGAATAATAAGAAAATAGTTATTTTAGATGATTAAATTTATTAATAAAGTAAATTTAATTTTATGATCTAAAAAATTTATAACTCATTTTACGTACATGTAAAGAATGTTCGAAAATCCAACATGCAATATAATCCAAATTTAGCTCTTCTAATATAAAAATAAAGTCTAATATTTATATACCATATAGTTGCCGATAATTCTTTACTTTAATAACAGTAATCTTATATATTCTAAAAAGACCATGGAGATGATTACTTTTAAATCTATTTTTGTATGAGTAGATCTTATTATATCGCTATTATATGAGCATATAGTTATCTTAATAAGATAATGAAAGCATTCCTATGAATTTGTCTATTATAGAAATTGAATAAATCAAAAATTATAAATAAATATTTTTTATTAGATTGATTGACTTGTTAAAAACTTATTTCTAATAATTCAATCACTGATAAAAAAGGAATATATTGTTATTTGTTATATGCAAGTGTATATAAACTTTTAATATTTTCTTTTAAATTTATTTTTTGTATTCATTTGTTATGATTACTGTTTTTAAAATAGCTACAATTGTAGAATTCGAATAAATTCTGATTATTGAAGTTTTTGATTCTAAAATTGGATTCTCAAAGCTATTTTTAAACAGTTAGAATTCTTTTCAAAAGAAAGGTTCTAATACATCTTTAGAAAAAAATTAATAAATAATAAAAATATCATAATGTTAGAAATGCAAAATCTTGCTTTTGGCATTCGTAAGGAAAAATGTAATTTCTAACCACAAAAACAAATAAATAATAAAATCCAAATAATTCCTTAAATTAAAATTAGTTTAAGAGGGGGAGGCTGCAACAATACTAAATAACTTAGATAAGAAAATATTATTTAATAGCTATTAATATTATTGAATCAAATAAAAGAGAAATTAAAAGTATCTTAATACTATTAATCGTATCAATTGATGAAAGATTGTCTTAATAAAATATAACACGTATATTTGAATTCGTTTGATAATTATATTTTTATAGAAAAATATATATATGAGAACTAATTCAAAGAGATAATACAAAAGGCAAATGATGAAATTTTAAAGTAGTAAAGTTCTCGATGGATTGATGGTCTGTATAACTATTTAGAATTGATTGATATTTCCTTGAAAAGTTTATCAAGAGATTCGTTTTTTAATAAGAGAATAAGTATCATAAAAATATTTATTGAAATTTTGTAAAAAATATATGATAAAAATGTTATTAAATAGTTTATTGAGGCAGCAAAATTTTTGCTAATTGATGTTTAATGTAGATATTATACTTAATTTCAAAAGTATGAAACTTTTTTTTTTTTTCAGACATTGAGTTATATAGTCAAAAAATAAATTGAAGCTAGATTAACGATTGAATTCTGTACTTATTTTTAAACAATCTAAGAATAATTTATCCTAAATTCAATAAATTGGACTCTTCATAATTATTGGATAGAGTTTTAAGTTGATCTTTGTCTCTTTTGCAATAAATATTTGTTAAAAAACAAAAACTTAAAATTAAAAAGTTTAGAAGAAGTATAAAAAATTGTCAATTTTTTTATGAAAGTCCCCAATGAAAATGGAAGAGCATAATTTAAATTATATGAACATATCAAAAATTTTCAGTTTAATAATGATTTTAAGTTTAAATTAGAAAACAGTTGGATAAATGATATTGATAATTCTGGATTTCATCGATTAAAAAGAATATTAAGTGTTTTATCCAATTAAGTTAATGAAATAGAAACTAAATATGTGGAGTTTTAATAATCAAAGAAAAGTTCTTTAATTGATCAAATATATAATTACTTTCAAGGAACCTAAATTTGCTTATTAGAAATAGCATAATAGCTTTCCATAGAAGAAGAAAAATGTTAATTATATTATGAACAAAATTAATTATAAATTCTATTAAAAACTTATTAGAAAATAGATTACATTTAAATTCTCAAATATTATTGTTAAAATACTTGTTAATCTTAAGATTTATAAGGAATTGAAAATAGAACTGATTTGAAAGAGCAAATTTAATTACTAAATTAAATAATAGAAATCGTTTCAGCTTTTATTATGTAAGTAATACAATAAAAATTGAAAGTATTACCATAAGAAAATCTACAATCACAGAATTTTATATCACATTCTTTTTAATCATTCAAAATAGAGAATAAAAAATAGGATGGATTATATTTTTCAATTAAATTGTATCTTTAATTACTAACACATGCTTTATAAATGCAAAATATTTATCAATAAAAATTGTTTTAAATAAAATATTTTTTTGATTTGGATTAAAAATACTAAGAAAATTAATTACCAAATAATTTAATTTAGGAGAAAATAAATAATTGTAAATCATAAATGAGTAAAAAGTTAACTCGTATGAAATAGAATTTTGAATAAGATTTTCCGATTGTTAGATAATAATTAATTAAAAAAGTAGAGAAAGTTCTCAGTTTTTGCTAATTTTTCGTAAATGATGACGAAGTTAGAAAGACTATTCATAAAAACTTTAAAGAAATTAGAAGTTATTTATAATAATCATTTGTAAGTGAAGATGATGTTGAAAAAAAAAATGACAAAATTTACAATTTATTTAATGAAATTTAGTAAGAGTTAGATAAAACTGATTATATTTCGTTTCCAAATTTAAAAACAGAAGAATTAAAACAAAAAATTTAAAAATCTTAAAATATCTAAGAAGAAATTATGTAAAACTCAGAAACTTTAAATGAATGTTATAAAAAGTTATAAAAGTCTGAATTAAATGAAGAGTAAGTTAACTAAATATTTAATCCTATCGAATAAAAGTTTAATTTTAATATTTTGAATTTAATAATCAAAGGAGAAGATTTATTTCAATAAAAAGAAAATTCCTAATTATTAGATTACTTCTATTCTAGCATAAGTAATTGGTAGCTAGAATTCAAAATTAAAGATATCAATTATAAATTAGTATATGAACAAATTGAATAAATTATTGATCAAGAATAAAAGGTTTCTTAACATGTTCAATAAAGCATGAGGTTTTATTAAGAATATTTTAAATATTCAAATTTAGATATTAAATATACAGAATAAACTGAGTAAATATTGAGTCGAGAAATTGAAATTGCAGAAAGATAAAAAAAATAATTAATTCCCTTTAATTAAGGATAATTAGAAAATGACTATGAAAATGATATAATATTTAAAAAAGATTAATTTTTTAATTAATTTGAAGAAATAATAAAAATAAAAAAAAATATGACTAATATTAATGTTGGATTAAGAGTTAAAGAAATAATTAAAGATTAAATTATTAAAAAGGGAGAAACAAAGTAATTATTAATAGAATTTGAATATAAAAATAACCCAGAGCAATATTTATAAGCAGAAATAAATAAATTTATTTGGTGTCAAAATAATCCAAATGTTATGATGTTAATTTTTGGAAGAAAAGGATCTGGCAAAACAAAATCTATGAAAAGACTTGAAAAATTGTTATGGAATCTATATAAAGCATGCCCATTAAATCCTAATTGGATTCCTATTTATATTGATCTTTCTAAATTAAGAAATCCTTCAGAGTTAACTTTAAAAAAAGCAATTAAAGAATATTTTTAATGTTTGAATTAAGTAACCAATTTTTTGAAAGAAATTTTGTAAGGTAAGGTAAATGTTGTATTAATATTGGATGGTTGTGATTAGAAAGATATTTGCAAAGCAATATATGAGAATAATCAATTTTAATTTAAAATATGTAATTACGCAAATAATAATAAAATCAGTTTAAAAATAATAATGACTATAAAACAGGATTGTCTAAATTTTGAAACTTTAAATTCTGAATTAAATTTTAAAAATACTTAAATTCTAGAAATTTAGCCCTTTGATTATAATTAATAGCTAGAATATATTAAATAATATTAAAAAGATTAATTAAAATAAAAAATATAAAAAATAGTTGATCCTCAATCCAATTAAATACTAGAATAAATTGATTAAATTTTACTGTAAATAGATCAAAGTTTTGTTATTAATTTAGAAGAAGTTAAGATCATTTTAAATTAAAACTTAATAAACATTTTAGATCTACTTAAAAAAAATTAATTAAAAATAAACCTAATAGAAGAGGAATTTAACAAAATCAATTATTTTTTAGAAAATATCATAATGAAGAATTTGAAAGATATTTTAATTACTCCTAAAATGATTGAAATTGCAATTAATAAATTAGAAGAATAGTATTTAAATGTGAATTCAAAAAAAATAATAGAATAATTTAAAACTAAATTTATAGAATTAAAAGAAAAAAGTTTAGGCAAAAATTAATACTAAAATGAATTGGAAGAAATGCTAAACTAATTAAATAAAACGAAATTTTTTGAAATATACCATCCATTTGATACTTTAAAGCTTGAGAAAATAAATTCAATAAAATTAAAAGATGAAATATTTAGGCTTAATGAAGATGCAGATTTAGTAATATTAGCACTTGATTAAATAAAATTATCGAGATATAAGATTTTAGATTCATTCATAATTGAATATTATTAATATTTAAATTAAGATAAAGAGAAAGGTTTAAATAATAATTAGGAATCGAAATGTAAAGATAAAATCATTAATTATTATATGATAGATGATACTCTGGAATAATAATGTCTTAAAGACTATTTTTTTGCTAAAAGAATTTTAGAATTATTATAAATAGATGAATAAAAATAAATGCAACCTGAGAATTTTAAAAATTAAGAATTTAATTTGTCCAGTTAGGATAATGAAGGTACTGTTGAATTGTTAATTGATGAATTAAAATAAATAAAGCACATTAATTAGCATCTTATTAGAATAATAAAGTTATCAAAATATAATGAAGAATTTAAAAGATCATCATCAAATGCATTATATTTACTATATAAATTGGGAGTAGCTTTAGACTAAGAGGATTTTGAAGGTATCATAATAGAAGATATTAATATATAAGGATTGAGTTTAATGAATTGTAATTTAAAGAATTCTAAAGTAAATAATCTTAATATAGATTACTGTAATCTAAATTATGTAAATTTAAATGGAGCAGATTGGGAAAATATAGTTTGTTCTGAAATTCCAACAATATTTGAAGAAGAGTAAATCAATCAAGTAATTATCTTTAATAATGACAAATAATTGGCAGTTTTAAAATATAATAGCATAAGTATTTGGGATATTTTGACTTGCGAAAAAAAATGTACAGATTTGCAGCATTTTTTAAAGAGAAATTATAAATAGATGTAAATTTCAAATGATGAAAGTAAACTATTTGCATTAACTAATTTGGAGATAGATGTATGGAGTTTATCGAATTATTAAATGAAAACAACAAAACCATTATTATAAGGTAAGAGTATTTATTTTAGCTTATCACCAAATAATAATTTATTAGCATGTAGCCTTGAAGATTCAAGTTTATTATTATTTCGATTGGCTGAGAGAGAGAAGTTTAATTTTAAACTTGAACTAAAAGTTAATTAATTAGCTTTTAATGATACTTCTGATCTTTTAATTTTTAGAGTAAATAAACATATTTATTTTTGTACAATTGAGTAAGAATTAATTCCAGTTAAACAAAATTTTAATAGTTTAATGTTTAAAATGTCAAAAGACAGAAAAAAATTAATAAGTTTAAAATCAAAAAAAATTATTATTTATGATTTGGTTAATAAAAGTTCAAAATCTTAGTCCCATAATATTATCATTAATAATCCATAATAATCAATAATTTTAGAAATTTATATGGATGTAGAAATGATTTTAATTCAATATAATTGTTAAATATAAATTTTGGACATATAGAATCAGAGAATGTATGATCTTTCAAAAATGTATCCTGGAAGAAACTTAATTATTTCTGAAGATGGAAAAATATTAATTAATTGGAAGGCGAATTGTTTGTAATTATAGCATTTGTAGAATTTAGAAAAAATGAAATTAAGAGAAGATATTGAAGATGATATAAAATCATGTGAATATTTAGCTGATGGATAAACTTTATTTATACAATAATCGAATAAGTCATTATTTTGGAATATTAACACCAAAACTATTTTAAGTAAATTAGAATCTTTTGAATCTTATTGCTTTAATCATTAAAAGAATATTTTAGTAACATTATCTAAATAAGTATTAAAGATTTGGAGTATTAAAATAAAAGATTAAATTTAATTATTATATCAATCTACTAAATTTATTTTTATTAATAAAATATTATTCTCTAAAGATGGTAATAAGTTAATATTAATAAATGGTAAAGGTAAAATAAGATGTTCAGATATATAAAAAATCTTTAAAAAAAAAAGAAAAAATAAGAATTCAATAAACTTATTTATGAATTCAAATAGTTAATAAAATATTGCTATTTCAACTGATTAATATGCTATATAAAATAAAGGCATAATAACAATTTGTAAATAAGATTCAAAAAAAATGATTGCTAGATTAGGATCACATAATTAAATAATCGATTCTTTTGCTTATTCTAAAGATGGTCAATATCTTGTTTCAAGAAGTAGAGATTAAAAAATAAGCATTTGGAATATGTAAACTTTTACTTTTATATGTTAATTCTAGAATTAAATTAATGATAAAATTGAAAATCATTGTTTATGGTTTAAAAATGAAAATAATTAATATATTGTTACTAATTTTGGTAATCAAATATGTTCATATAATATTACTTAGTTTTTAGGGAATAATCCTGCTAATTCCAATTCTTCAGATGCAAGTAATGCATCCTAATAAAATAATTTTGCAAAAGAATTTGTTGTTGAGCCATAAAAAACTGAGCTTATACATGAAAATATTCCAAATGAATTTAAGTGCAGAAATATAATAATTTCTAAAGATCATAATTTAATGGCTGTTGCGTATAGCAATTCTAATTAAGATGAATTTTAAATGGATTCAACAATTATTATTAGTTAAACATTATAGATGAAAGTATTCAATAGAATATCCAATAGAGGTGGATCAAAATTAGCATTTTGTTTTAATAACAAATTATTAGCTACTAATAATTATGAAGATTAACAATATTAAATAATTATTTGGAATATAGAATCTTGCAATCATTACAAATAGTTTAGAATCAAAACTTATAAAGATATATTAATTAGTAGTATTGAATTTTCTCCTTCAAAAAATTATATACTAATATCTGATAAGTAATATCAATTTTATTTATCTAAATTGAAAAAACAAAAAGCTATTAATGAGGGTAACTTTGGTTTGTATTAAGACATATAAACAGAAGATAATCTAATTATTGATCATCCATAAGATATGCCAATTCTTCATAGTTTTAGTAAAACAAATACTAATTGCAAATTCTCAAATAATAATGATGAATTAATCTATGTTTAAAGTAATGAGCTTAAATTTATAAATTTTAAAAATAAACTTTAAAAAAATAATAGTTACACATATGATGAAAGAGATTAGTTTTATTTTCAACAAAACTTGATTATACATTCATATAATTAAAGATAACTTATTGAATTCAATCTTGAAAAACAAGTTTTTATAGAACTATACTAATTTATCTTTGAAAGTATATCTTCAACTTTTTCCTAATTGGGAAAATATCTTGCTTTTGTTTAGAAAGAGGAAATTTCCATTTGGAAAATTGATAACAAAAAGTAAATTTAAGTAGCAGTTAAATAACAAATTAATGATTCTTTAATTAATCTTCTTAAATTTTCAAAAGACGATTAGTATTTCATTGCATTTATCAACAACAAAATATCAATTTATAGAATTATAGTAGAATCAAATGAAAGTATTAAAATTGAATTATTCTAAATTATAACTAGAGGTGAGAAATTAATTTCTCTTAATTTTCATCCATCAGAACTTGAGTTCCTTGTTATTACACAAGATAGAGAGATATATTTATATAAGAAATAAGAATAATAATAGTAAGAATTTTAAAATTTTTTAACAATTACAAGATAAAAAGAATTATAATCTTATAAAACATCTACAAGTGATTTTAAGATTACTTCTAAAATTAAAGAATAAAATTTACTTCGATTGTTAATCTAAAAAGGAGCGAATTGAAATAATTAAATTAATATATTTCATGAAATTAAAAATATTAATTAATAACTTCATTTTATTTTAATGTTGATTAATAAAAAATAGTCATTCTTTATTAACTAAAGCATTTTTAACAATATATTGAAACTAAGATGTATCAACTCTCTAGCTAAAATATATGAGCTAAGTTATATTTTATAACTAACTATATTCGATCAATGAAATCAATTAAGATGACTTTAAAGTAGTACTTGCTTCATGAACTATGAACATTTGAAAATTTACATTCTAGAAATATTAAGTCAAGCATTTTTATGAACTATTATTTAATGTCATAAATATTAAATGACTTAATTGGTTTTTCAATAATTTTTACTTTACTCAATCTCATCATATTAATTTTTTTGTTATTTCTAAATAATGATAAGTTAAATTGATTTTATTATGCTATCAAATATTCTTGCCATTTAAAATGAACTTTAGTTGATGAAGGAATTCGGATAGATTTATAATGATTATAATTTAGTATTAATTTAAAAATATATTAAAATGTTTTAATAAAGTAAATATAAAGTTTAATAGAATTAGGTAATTAAACTTGTTAAAAATTCAAAATTTTATTTAATATTATATTTTGAAATTCTATCATGAAGAGAGAATTTTGTTAAATTTAAGGTCATGATACAGAGGAGCTAATCTATGTTTGTGATGAATTGTAGTGTATTGAACTTAATAATAACAAACTTATCTGTTAAAAATGTTTGTGTATACATAGAGGTGTAACATATAACATACTAAAGGAAAAAGCCATTAAAAACTACAATCAATATACACAAATTTTGTAAAATGACATTGATGAAAATGAAAGTTTAAAAAAAAATGTGGAATAATCTATTAAAGAGATATAAGGAAAGATTATGAAAATGATGTCTGATTTATAAAAAAATATATTCACTTTTGTTGATGGATAAAGTTAAAAATTGCTAAAAAATAAAAATTAAGCATAATAGTTAATGCAAGATTCTAATTCATCACTTGACATCTAAATATTTTTTGCTAAGTTTTCTGAAAGAAAAACAAAAGAAAAATAAGAAACTACAAAATAACAAGTTAAAGCAATTATTAAAGATTTAATTGATGATATTAATTTAAAAATAGAATATCTCAAGTAACCAGATGTTAATGAATATAAAATTATTGAATTTGAGCTACAATCCTTTTAAATAGAATCAATTTTTTAGAAAAAACTTCCTTATAGCTATTGTGATGAACATTGTTCAAATAAAACTTCAATATGTGTAGATATTAAATGTTTAGAATCAAGTTATTTAGAATATTATTGTTTAAGATGTTGTAAGTCTTCTCATGTTCAACATTATCAAAATGATTATTTAGTGGAATATGATAAATTGAAAAAAGAATAAAAGGTAAAATAAAAGTTTGTTGTGAACTAAAAACAAAAAATGAAAGAATATGTTTAAAAATTAGTAAATGATTCAATAAACTAGTTAAAAATTGAGCAGAAAGAATAATACTTAAAATATGAAATTACAATAGAAAATATCAAAAGTCTCTAATAATAATTTGAAATTAATTTATAAGTTGAAAATACTAAATATGTTTTTGGCGATTTATTATTATAATTTATTAATACTAAAGAAGAAACATTTCTATTGCAACTAAATCAGGTATAACAAAATTTTGAAGATAAGCTTCAATGTTGTAAGATCTAGGATAAACAAAAATTCTTAGAAGAATGCTAATTATTATAACTTAAATAAGATGAAATTGTCAAACTGTAAAAAAATATAAAGCAATTAAAATAATCAGTTGATCAAAAAGATTAATTGTTAAACAATCAATCTTCTGAAAATCTCTTTAATTTGTTACAGATGAACCTAAAAGAAAAGGACAAATTGATACAAAGTTTAAGTAAAAACAATGAAACTTTGTAATAAAAAGTATAATAATAATAATCAAATTAACCAAAAGAGAAACAATAGTCATCATAATCGTAATCATAATAAAAATAATAATAAATATTCTCAGAACCATAATCATTTAAAAACTCAAGATAAAATTAAAATTATTGATATTTTATCTAGAAGTGAGAATATAATAAAATATATTCGTAATTAAAAATTCATTTTTTTATATCTTTCAATTTTAAAAATAAATAAATTTGAATATTTAATGATTTAAGTAAAAATCAAAAATAATTAATACTTCAAATTCATATCAATATTATATCTAATATTTAACAGCATAATGAAAGCAAATTAAGATAGATTTTTTAATTCAAAATTTCTTTTTTTTGAATGAAAATGTTTAGGTGACCAAAAAAATATTATTATTGGATTTTCAACATACATTGTAACACAATATACATTTAATATATTTCAATTAACAATATATCTGTTTAGATCCTCAATATAGCTGAATAATGAAATCAGTGTCATTCACAGTCAGCTAAATGTTTTTATATATAGTATTAAGTGAATTTCAAATACTCTTGGTAATTAACAAGTTACTTTTTTTAAATTTCTAATTTAATAGTTTTTATTATTTATAGATACTCTTTTTCTCTAATTTATTAAGTAAATTATAAAAATGCAATATAATTTTTTAATTTAAATCTACATTGAACTATAGATCGTTTGTATAAAAATAAGATTTAAATTTATTATAACTTTTGTTGGTTAAATTATTTCATAACTATTTTATTTTCAATGTATTACTTTTGCTCTAAAAAACAAGTTTGGATTTTGAATTTCTTTAATCTACACTATAGGGGTTAGAAGATTAAATTAAATTGTAATGAGGAAAGTTTTCTAATAAAAAAAGGAAATCTGTTTAAGTTTAATAAGTACATACTAGACTTTTGATCGAAAAGAAGCATTGATCATTTATTCAAATATGCTTATAGCAAAAAGTTTATGCTAGAAAATAATTTTAAAACAGTAAGTATTTATTAAGACTATATTTGGAAGTAATAAATATTTATAATCTTCTTTTTTGATTAATTCTGCGAAAAAGTAGAGAAATCATCTAGATATCTTGAATGTAGATTGAGCCTATGCAATAACTGTTTAAATATTAAATATTCTTAATTTTTTCTATATTTTCATCATGCATTTATTTATCTATCCAATTGTTGTTTCTATTTCTTAAAGAATTTAATTCTCTAGTACTAATTCATTGATTAGAAAGCTTGATATTTCATTAAATCTTTTAGATTTTTTCTTTTTAAACTTTAGTATAAGCAATATTAGAGATTAGTTTTAGTACATAATTTAGAATAAATTTTAATAAATAAATACTAAATATATAAAAATTAATGAATATTATAATCGCTAATATATTATAAACTCTAATCTATAATAAATTTTAATATATAGATTTCATTAGGACGATTAGATAAGAACAAATATTTAAGACTCATACTTTTTATAGAAAAAAGGTAATGGTTATTGAAGAAAATGTATTTATAATGAAATAATTTTATAATATAAAATAGCAACATAAATTATGTTAAATTTCTTTGATTATATCATGATTTTGTTGATAAATATATGAAGTAAGAAATTATCAATAAAAGAAATATGCTAACATTTTTTTTTGTTTAAAAATATATTTCAACAAATATAAAAACTATAAAGACCTATAGAAAATTCTTGGGAAATAAAGTTGTAGAGAATAAAGTTAGAATTGAAAGTTTATACAAGAGTTTAAGCCTATTTCTTATTTAATTATATATCATAGATGGAATATGGAACATAAATTTGTCATAGAAATGAAATTANAACTTTTGTTGGTTAAATTATTTCATAACTATTTTATTTTCAATGTATTACTTTTGCTCTAAAAAACAAGTTTGGATTTTGAATTTCTTTAATCTACACTATAGGGGTTAGAAGATTAAATTAAATTGTAATGAGGAAAGTTTTCTAATAAAAAAAGGAAATCTGTTTAAGTTTAATAAGTACATACTAGACTTTTGATCGAAAAGAAGCATTGATCATTTATTCAAATATGCTTATAGCAAAAAGTTTATGCTAGAAAATAATTTTAAAACAGTAAGTATTTATTAAGACTATATTTGGAAGTAATAAATATTTATAATCTTCTTTTTTGATTAATTCTGCGAAAAAGTAGAGAAATCATCTAGATATCTTGAATGTAGATTGAGCCTATGCAATAACTGTTTAAATATTAAATATTCTTAATTTTTTCTATATTTTCATCATGCATTTATTTATCTATCCAATTGTTGTTTCTATTTCTTAAAGAATTTAATTCTCTAGTACTAATTCATTGATTAGAAAGCTTGATATTTCATTAAATCTTTTAGATTTTTTCTTTTTAAACTTTAGTATAAGCAATATTAGAGATTAGTTTTAGTACATAATTTAGAATAAATTTTAATAAATAAATACTAAATATATAAAAATTAATGAATATTATAATCGCTAATATATTATAAACTCTAATCTATAATAAATTTTAATATATAGATTTCATTAGGACGATTAGATAAGAACAAATATTTAAGACTCATACTTTTTATAGAAAAAAGGTAATGGTTATTGAAGAAAATGTATTTATAATGAAATAATTTTATAATATAAAATAGCAACATAAATTATGTTAAATTTCTTTGATTATATCATGATTTTGTTGATAAATATATGAAGTAAGAAATTATCAATAAAAGAAATATGCTAACATTTTTTTTTGTTTAAAAATATATTTCAACAAATATAAAAACTATAAAGACCTATAGAAAATTCTTGGGAAATAAAGTTGTAGAGAATAAAGTTAGAATTGAAAGTTTATACAAGAGTTTAAGCCTATTTCTTATTTAATTATATATCATAGATGGAATATGGAACATAAATTTGTCATAGAAATGAAATTAAAGATTTTTCAGATAAGAAAAAGGATGCTTTAAAAGGCTTTCTATTCGAATAAAGTAAAAGTTCTTTGATTGGAAAAGGATTAGAAAAGTAGTAAATAAATGTAATATATATTACGTAATATTCTATACTATGAAGTTTCCATTAGAGAATAATGTAGATTCTGAGATTAATAATTTATACAAATGAACCAATTTGATGATAGTGTAAAATCTTAAGAAACATAATAAATAGAACTTTTTGTGAACTGTAGATAATTAGATGATATGGGAATAGTGACATTTAGTAATCCATAAGTGATAATATATAGAAAAAACTAAAATTTGTGTATAAATAAAATATGATATGAAAAGGGATAAAAATAGATGAAACAGAAGTGATTTATAATAGTTTGAATCCGAATTTTGTAAAAACTTTTTAGATGAATTATTTATTTTAAGTTTAGTAAAATCTAAAATTTGAGGTTCATCATTATATAAGTTAAACATAAACAAAAGTATTTTAGTAAATAATATTAAGATAATAGGTAAAATAGAAACAACAGTAGGAGAAATAATAGGCTCAAAAAATTAAATTTATACAACTTATTTGATAAATTAGAGTGGGAAAAGAAGTGGGAAAATAATAATAAAAGCAGATTAAATGAAGGAATGTAATGCTGAATTTAAAATATAATTATCTGTTAATAAAATATAAGGATCAAAATTTTGGTTTTTTTGGGATAAAATACATCCATTTTTAAGAATGTATAGATAAAGAATAGATGATTAAATATAAGTTTTAGTATATGAAACAGAGAGTACAAAAGATTAGAATAAAATGAAATGGAAGGATATAGAATGTTAAGCATAGAAATTATGTAATGGAGATTATGGAATGTAAATAAAAATAGAATTATGGGATTATAAAAAATCTGGTAAACACAAATACATAGGAGAAACAACAGTATGTATAAATGAATTAATGGAAGCAAGTAAAGTTAATAAGACATTTTAGAAAGAGTTCATTAATAAAAGTTAAAAGAATAATAATAAGAAATGTGTTGGTATTTTATAATGTGAAAAATTTGAATTAAAATCTCATTATACATTTCTTGATTATTGTATAGGAGGTTAATAATTAAGTTTAATAGTTGGTATTGATTTTACAGCATCAAATGAAAATATTGAGAATCCTAAATCTCTTCATTATATTGAAAATGATTCTCCTAGTTAATATTTATAAGCTATAATAAGTGTAGTAGAAATATTAATAAATTATGATCATGATAAAAGAATTCCAGTTTATGGTTTTGGTTGTAAACCTAAAATGTAATTTATTAATACCAATAAAACATAACATATATTTCATTTAAATGATAATCCTAATGATCCAAAGTAATTTTATATATATTATTTTTTAGAGTTTAAGGATTGGATGGAATAATTTAATGTTATAAAAAATCATTAAATAAATTATAATTTGATGGTCCAACTTATTTACATCCAATTTTAAAAAAAACAATGGAAATGGCATAATAATCTAAAAATTAAGGAAGTTAAAATTATTATGTTTTATTAATTTTAACAGATGGATAAACAGATGATATGTTAGAATCTATTGATGATATTATTGCATCATCATTATTACCATTATCAATCATTATTGTTGGTTTAGGTGATGCAAATTTTAAAAATATGATGATTTTAGATAATGATAATAAAAGTATGATTGATAGTAAAGGAAATAAAGCAATTAGAGATTTAGTTTAATTTGTTCCATTTAATTAATTTAAAAGCAATCCAACTTAATTATCAATAGAAGTATTAAAAGAATTACCTAATTAATTAATAGAATATATGGAATTAGTAGGAATTCATCCTAAATGCCCAAAATGTAATTTTATTAATATTATTTAAGTAATTAATTCATATTCACATTTACCGTCTAATTTAGATAATTATTTGAATATATAATAACATTAAGTAGATTTATAATAAAATCAACAGGGTTAAATTATAGAAAATGAACAAAACAATTAAATTACCTTTTCACTCGAATAAAAATAATAATATTTAAACACTTCCTTAAAATAGAAATTGACTAAGTAATGATATATAATATACTATTATTAATAAATATTTTTATTAAGATTTTATTGAATAAACTTAACTGGATATCAAAATCGCTTGTCATTTGATTCTGCATTTTCATCATCTCTGATTCTAAATTAAATAGTTGTTATCCATCCATTTCTAACAATACAATAGAAGAGAAAACAAATTAATCCTTCTAAACTCATAAATTTTTAGAAAACAAGAGTCATGCCTTCATATCCATTTCCAAAACCTATTAAATTAGCTAAACACATCATTTATATTTAGAAGCCTCCTCCTAATTAACATAAATAAACAAACCACCATTTTTTATAAAAGTATTCTTTATCAAAATATTTTTATAAAGCAATTTCAGGTATTAATGCTAAACATATAATCCAAGCCCATAATAATAAATTTAATTAAAAATCATGCCATAATGCTACAAATGAAAATACAACCCACATATTTAATGATTTATATTTAGTACCTCCTAATGGTACATAAATATATCTAATTAACCATTAATTAAAACTTCTATGCCAAGATCTCCAAAATCCACTAAAATTATAACTATTATATAAACATCTATTCATATTTTCAGGTGTTTCAATACCTATATAATAATATTTATTAATATTACCATCTAATAATGCCCATCCTCTAGCAATTCTCCATATTGTTAAAAATTTGTACCATAAAAATATTAAATTCATTACACACATTATGTGAAATTCATAAGCACTAAAAGTTTATAAAATATGTAAATTTTCATTCATTTTTGGTATTGCATTTGGATAACAAACATGTAAAAATATTTCAAATGTTAAAAAGTCTAAAAAATATACTCTTAAAATATATTTCAACACTTATGCTCGATTCATACTTTACTAAGGTGTTTTTAATTGAGAATTAAATGCATTATAACCAATAGATGGACCTGAAAAGAGAAGAGGTACATAAAATAGAAAACTTAAATATCCTATAAAATTATATTCCTCTAAAGGTTAATTCTCTTCTACACGATCTCTATAAGTTTTTATTAAATCTGCTTTCTCATTACTATATTTTGATTATTGAGAAGCCCAAACTTTATCAATTGAGAAACTTATTATTCTTAACAAAATCATATTAAATACTAAATTCCAACCTACTAATTCATTCTCTTTTCTTAATTCATCTAAAAATTATAATGACTTAGAAAACATTTAAAAATCATATCCATTAAATTTTTCATTTAACCATAATGTTATTATAGCCAAACTCCATAAAGCTGGTATAAAATATTTCATTTTGTAACATATCTATTATTTTTATATATAAAATGTATTACTTTCTAAAATATATAAAAACCTACTATGATACTCATCTAAAATATCATTCTAATATTATGTAAATAAAATGCATATCCTAATCCAACTAACATATTATAATATTATAAATTTTTATATCTACTCTCTAACTTACTATTATATTTCACTGTATAAGACCCCAATAAAAAAATTACTTGAAAAATCATCAATTCTCTCATATTACTTGCAAATTTCCCCCATTAAGAGTCTGAATGATCTCTTTATATCCCAAAGAACCCTATAATTATTCTATCCATATACCTTCTTCAGTCCCAACAATCTCATTTGATTTGCAAATTAACCAATATCTATATAACGAGTATATTTCAAATGTAATTATGCATACTAAAGAAATGTAATACGAAGAATCAGATATATTAAACGATTTCTTTGTTTGGGCTTGTCTCATAAATATTTTAATAAATTATTATTTAAATTTTTTTAAATCCATTTAATTATCTTAATTGCTTTCATTTTTTGTTATTTCTATCTATACTCTCCCTTCTAAATCTAATCCATATCTATTTCTTAAATATTTATAAATACAATTACAATGCTATCATTACAAACTCACATCTATGCCACTTCACTTCTCTTTTTTATATCACATCATACATATTATATATTATTCAATAAATGCTTTCAAAAAATATACTCCCCATTACTTTTCAATATAATCTCCATAATATCTGTTTTAATCCATTTTTTATCAAATTTATACATAAACCTAATTCATTATAACTTAATATTGCAACTATTTTTTTGTTCATCTTTTCTTTTTATATCATACATATATTTAAAAAATTATTAACTTTATTTCTCAATTACTTATTCTACAATTCATTATACAATTAAATTTATATGATTTACATTTCAAATTGACACATTCTATCTAAAAATAAAATAATACACCAATAACATATTGAAATTTAATTTAATATCTATTCCCTTTTCCTTCATTTTCTACTTTATAGTAATCCTATTTTAAGCTATTTAAAGCTATTGTCAGCCTAGAAATTGATAACTCGTGCATATTATTATTATATAACTTAATAAATCAATATTAAGAATTGTAATTAAATTTAAAAAATTTAGGTTTAAGCAATCAAAGAATGACACCAAATCTTATAAAACACTTTAAATAATATAAAATTATACCTATCTCTCATGCAAACTTAATTCAAACCTCTTTTATTTTAAATAATCATGTGAATTATTATATTTTTTAATTCTTTAAGAAAAGCTGTGATTCCATGAAGCCTAAGATCTAAAGGATGTATAGCACACTGTTAAACAGCTTATTAGTTATTAGGTTATAAATTATCCTAAAATAAGCAATATATTATTAATTAATTATATTTATATACTATATTATAATTTAAATTTTCTAGATTAAAATAGTCTTCAGAATTTTAATATAGTTTATAAAATTAATATTTTTACAGGGTCAAACTTTTTATACAAAGATAATAATGTTTTATATTACAGAAATTTTAGTCTACACTCGAGAGACAAACAACACTCCATAATTTCTATTTTTTTTGGGACATTATTCAAAATAAAAAAATAAGCTCTTATAATAATCATTCAGTATAATGATACTTTTAATCATTTAAAGAAAATAAATTAAGAACATAGAAATTTACAAATAATACAATTGTTCTTATATATTGATCATCAATTATGGTTCTTTTTAAGATTTGTATATTTATATAATATTATGACTTACTTAATCAAGAATATATGTTTAATGGATTCTATTAATGGAAAAGAAGTTTACATATATCTTAAGACTTAGCAAGTTCCTCTATGTAATTTTAATATTAATATAAGAATTCTTAAGTTAAAAATCTTTAAGCAGAGAAATAAATTTATAATTGATATAAAAATAAAATTATATGATAATTTTATAGAATTTAATTATAATAGCCAATTTGTAGTTTATATTTAATTTTATATTTGAGTTATATATTGTATTAAGATTAATATTTATGTTTCATATCCTTATTAATCAATATCATAAAATTTAAATAATCCATCAAAGCTAAATCAAAAAGAGTAGATAGAAATCGTAACATAAAAAATACCACCAAAACTTATTAAATCTATGATTCCCTCCATCCTTCACTCTATTAAGCCAGTAAAAATCTTTATTGATAATTTGAAAAACAAAGCACAATATTCAGATTATTTTCTTTTTTTAAGAACATTCTATCTAAAAAAATAAATCAAAGACCTGACAGAACAACTTTAAAATCTTCTTTAAAGACTTAGTGAGTTGTTGGATGAGTTTGATAAAGAATATAAAACTTATCAATAAATATTCTCAATTTTATAAAATGACTAACCCTTAAATAATATTTCTGTACAATAAGTTAAATATTTTACAAGAATTCTTGAACATGATATTTTAGAATAATGGAAGATTGATGGGAAAATTGTTTAGACTTGATTTAAAATTAGTAAAATGAATTATATTAAAAAATTACAGATATAATCAAAAACTTTGTTTAAGTGAAGGAAATTACAAATTAAATATGGAAATTATTAATAATTTAGTATATAAAGGATGGACATATTCTAAAAATGTATTAAATTATAGTTATTTTTACCAGTCTACCATAAAATCAGGATCAATAGATTATAAAAATTATAGATTAAATGTGATTCTAATTGTAAAGGTAAATGTAGATGTAAATGTTAATGTATATGGAGATTTTTATGTAAAAAAAAATCCAACTGTTGTTGAATTGCAAGAAGTTTTTATTGGTTTGATTTTATAATTTCTTAAAATTTTTATAGAATAAATTTTTTATTATTCTCATTATCTTAATATTAAAAGAAAAAGAAGACATACGTCATATCAAGATATTTATTGTACCTAAAAAATGTTAATACTAAAGAAAAAAGACCAGAAAATTTGAAAAATATTATTAATATTTGGATGTTTCTAAAATTGCATAATTTAGGTTTATTTAAGTCAAATTTAAAAAGAAAAAAATTATGAATATGGAAATCTTATTACTAATTTAAGGTTTTAACTTAAAAAGATAGGAATGGATTGATATAAATAATAATTTTCATAAATAATTAAAATGTTATAATTCTAGCACCTGCTCAATACAAAGTATGAAACAATTTTAATACAAATGAAAATCATAATTTTTTAGATAAAAATTATTCTTCATCTATATAATTAATCAAAAATTATTACAAGATTAAAAACTAATTAAAATATCTGATTAGTATCCCAATAACAATATTCCAATCGATATTTTAAAGTTATTTTTTCCCCTTTTTCCTAAATAAATTATAAAAAGAAGTGTTTATTAATTTTATCTTTGTGTACTTATAATAATTTAATATAGCAGGAATTTTATTCACTTATTCACAGTTACTAATTGGTTTTCAATACATAAGAAGCAATTTTAAAGCCTGTTTTGAAAGTTTGATAGATTAAAAAATAATTTTAACATTTTATTATATAACTTGATCATAGTAGATATAAAAATAAAACAGCTTGAATTAACTCATTTTTTTCAAAAAATTTGAAGCGTCAATAATTTCCTTATTTTAATAAAAATATAAATTCTACTAATTTCAGTTTTTTGAAATAATAATAAAAAATACAAGAAAAAAGAATTATAATTCTGGTAGATGCTGAAGATAAATAGTTTTATTAAGGATTATATTTTCAATCATGACTAATGAATAATGAAACAGTAATATTCATAATTGGAAAAGAATATAAAATATTTAAATTATACAATTATATTTATAAATTTCAATTATATAAAAATGATTTTACATTTAGATTTCACAAATAAAAGTTCTTGCATTAACGATATTTCTAAAAATTAAAAATAAAAATATTGCTTTCAAAAATAATCATTTTTATTTGTTAAATTAAATTTCAAAAACAACATTCTATTATATAATTATTGCATTAATTTAATCAATTTTATTTATTATAATTAAAAAAATTTTTTTATTTTTTTATTTAGCAACTCTTAATTTGATTTGTTTTAACTGCAAGATTTCAAATCTGTTTAATCGGTTTATTGATACCTAAAAATATATTCCATGATAAAGGAATGATAAAAATAATATAAATGAGTTTAAAAAGGTATATTATAAGAATCTATCAAAATTAATTAAAAAAATATTTCTTAAATTTAAACAATGAAATAAATAGTATTAAAAGAAGTAAGAAAAGGAATTATGATACATATAAACATGCATTTTATACAAACGTATAGATCAAAAAATTTTGAAGTTGTAAGATCAGATTTACTAATCCTAAAATTTTTATTATTTACATTTATTGCAATTTTCTTGCTAATTTTAGCATTATTTGCTAAACAAAATTGTTTTTAGTAAAATGCTATTATAATTGAAAAGTAAAAATAGCATAACTTAGGCTAATTATTAACCAAATAATATTTTGTAAATCAGAAAAAATTAGAAAAAAATGTACAAAAAAGAAAGGAAAAACTGAATAAGTTAAAAAGAACTAATAGGTAGAAATATAAATTTTAAAAAATTTATTATCATTCATTTGGGCTATCGGTGCGAATAAAAATATTATGATTAGTTTATTAAGGAGGACGAGAGTGAAATAATTAATTTATTTTTTCAACAAGCCTTTTAAGTTATTTGTATTTTTTGATCAAAAGCATCCATTATTAAATAGCATCTATCATTAACTAAATGGCAAAAATTAAGCTTATATTTGCAATACAAAACCATCCAATTTTTGAACGTAAATCCTCACTAAAATATTATACCTCTTGATCTAAAACTAAGCTTGAAATAAAAATTAATGCGCTAGTTGTGTTAATTTCACAAGACAATTGTTTAATATATTCTTTTTGATCATCTAATGGTTTAAAAAGAATCAAGAGAATAGTATGTAGAAAGGACAATAGAGTTAGATTAATTACTTAATAAAATGGGGAAAAATAACAAAATATGAGATTAAGCATAAACAAAAGCTTTTTAATGAGTATAATAGCATTGAAGTATTTGCTAAAATTATCTTTTTTAATTCCTTCAAATAACGATCCATACTTCATTTTATTTTGATATTGTTCTAAATTTAATGAAGATGCTCCACTAATCTTAATGAGAATATAAATGGTAAATAAATATATTCCAAAAGCCATTATTGCTAAATATGAGCTTAGATTAACCAAGATTTCTTTAGAATTAAATTCTAAAGCATATAACTAAAGAGTAAGACTAAATGAATAATCATATGCAGTGGCTATAAGTGTTCTAAATATTCCGCTATAGAAAAATTCTGAGACTACTATGTAACATAATTTTATTATAAAAATTTTAGCTGCCAAAAACATCAATTTAAATTTTAAAGTAAAATCTTGTGTACCAGGTATTTCAGTGTAATATTTAAATTAAATTTTTTATAATATTGAAGGTATAAATGTTGATAACACATAAATTCCTAAAAGTGATAGCCAAACAACAAAGATAGAAGATCCATTTATAATCAATAAAGAATTTAAATCATCTTTTCTAATTTTTGGTGGTATTGGTTTTAATTATTCATATGTAATGTAAGGATCTATTAATTTTTATAGGTTTAAATATTTAGAAATAAAATTGAGTTAAGCAAAACCAAAGAAATCAAAAAACTCTTACAAATTGTATGGCAATTAAGTATTTATGTATTTTAAATAAGATAACATTTAAATTGTATCTAGTAAATTGTAAAATATATCTAAACCTCCAAACAGAATTGCTCCTCCACACATAACACCAATAACATACAAAACATATGAATTACCATTTGTGGCCATTTAAACTTAAATTACAGATGATTCTTCAATGAATATATATTCAGGAATAAGCACTTAAATTTATGATTCTTGTTGGAAGTAACCTTAATAAGAAACAAATTTGGAAATATTCTGATATTTAATTATTAGTAATTCATTTTTTGTACTTCTATTGAATGTTAATTCAAAAATGATTGAGAAATTAACATTCGATTAATTATCAAACTAATATTTTGGTAATTTTTGATATGGACAATTAATCAAGTTTTCCTAGATTTCATTCTTAATATATGGTATTAATTCATTTTCAATAGAATCATTTGATGTCAAATTTAAAAACAAATTATATGTTAATTTGAATTATCTGATATTCTAATATAAAGAATTGTCTCCAAAGCTGAATAAATAAGGGATTGGATATTCTGGAGTTATACAAATTCCATCTTTACAAATAAATTTCTTTTCTTTTTTACAATTTAGATCACATCCATCACCAGATAATAAGTTTCCATCATCACATTCTTCATCTGATGATTTGAATGAATCACCACATTTTGAATAGCATTTATTATTTATTTGATCAGAATATAATCCATTTTATGATTCACATAATTGACATTCTCCAAGTTTATTTTATAGAAATCTACAAGATTTACAATTTGAAGCATTTGTTTCACAAGTTAAACATTTTTCAGAACATTTAGCACATATAGAATTAAATAGAAAAAAACCTTGGTTACATTTAATACATTCAGATAGCTTTTTTATCTAATTTAATTAACATTGTAAACAATTTAAATTACACTAAAAACACAAAGATGGTTCTAATAAAGAGTTTAAACATGAATAATTATTATCTATTTTACAATTGGAACATCCATCTCTGGTAATATTATTGCCATCATCACAATCTTCACCATAAGTCCATACATGATCAGTGCAATCTTAATATTAACAATCTTTAATTATTTTACCTTCATTTGAATTACATGACCAACATTCACTATTTTCATTCTAAAAGTAACCTTTTTAACAAATGCATTTATTTTACTTTAAAATTCTATTTTATAATTCATTACAACTTTAACAATTATCAGCATTTTACAAACATGTTAAACATTTTAAATCACAGAGTAAACATTTTAAATTGTTTTCATAATAGCCATCTTTACAAATACATTGATTATTAACCAATAAAATATTTTCTATTGATTTACATTCAGTACAAAATGATAAACTATAACAGATTTTACATGTTTCATAACAACTTTTACAAATGAAATTCTCTTCGTAATAACCATCTTTACAAATGCATTAATTATCTATCAATTATTGATTTTTATCAATGCAGGAAGTGCAAAAATATGGATTATTTTCGCATGATTTACATTTATTATAACATGGAATACAAGATTAATTATCATAATAGAATTAATCTTAACAATTAATACAATTTGTAGAATCATTGCAATATTTACAATTTGAAATACATTAAGCACATAATCCTATTTCATTCATATAATAATACTCTGTGCATGTAATACATGTAATAATATCCAAACAAGTTTAACATGGTATTTCACATTTTAAGCATTTAGTATTTAATAGATAATATTCATCTTTACATTCTATGCATTCAGTGTTTGAATTACATCTTCTGCAAACTTTATTACATTATTTACATTAAAAACCAGACATATAATAACCATTATCACATATGCATTTTCCATTAATAATGGATTGATTATCATCATAACAAGATGTGCAATGATCATAATTAATTACACAAGTCACACATGGAAGTTAACATTTTGAGCATTACATTTATATATCTGTATAATAACCATATTTGCAAATACAACTATTTTAGATAAAATCATGATTAAGATCTGAGCATTTTAAACATAAATCAGATTAATCAGTACAAGATGAACATTAAGGGGAACATTTTTAACATTGTGTTTCTATTTAAAAGTAACCACTTTAACATAAGCATTCATTATCTTGTAAATGATAAAGACCACTATCAATACAAGATTTACAAGTATTAACACTTGTTGAACAATCAAGACAAGGATATTTGCATTAAGAACAGTTTATTCCTCCTGTTCCAGAAGATCCATATCCAAATTTACATATGCATTTATTATTTATTAAATCATGATTTTAATCTAGACATTCAAGACAATGATCATTTGAAATTTCACATTTTATACATGGATGTTAGCATTATTAACAATAGTTAGATACATCAAAGTATCCATCATTGCATATGCATATATTATTAATTTAACTTTGATTTGAATCAATACAGGTTAAACAATGATCTTAATTAATTTCACAGGTTTTACATGGCAAAATGCATGCTGCACATGTATTAATAGTATCTGAATAAAATGTATCTTTGCAAATGCATTCAAAAGATGGGTTTATTAAATGATTAGTATCTAAACAACTATCACAATGAGTATTATTAATTGAACATGTGGCACAAGGATTTTAACAAGCAATACAATCATAATTATTATTATTAATCCAACCTGGATTACAAATACAAGATCCATTATTTATATAATGTTAAGAATCTTTACATTAAGTACAAAAAGCTGTATTTCCTGAACATTAGATACAAGGATTAACACAAGAGATGCAATTTACACCAGTCATTAAATAGCCACTTTTGCATTCACATTGATTAGATGAATTAACAGTTTGATTGGAATCTATACAAGATAAACAATGGACTGCAGTGCCAAAACAATTATCACATGGTTATGTACAAACTTAACAATCAGTGGGTGAATTAGTTAATACTTCATAATATGATGATGGACATTCACATGTGTTAGGAAGAGTTGTACTCATAACATATGTTGATGAGCAATCAGTACAATAATTAGGGTTTGTTTAGCATTTACTACATGGATGATTACAAGGTTAACATAATAATGCATTGTCCATATAATATCCATCATCACATATACATGTATCATTAGAGATAGTTTAATTTGGATTAGCACATGATGTACATTTATTAGAAAGATCTATACAGTTATAACATGGTAATACACATTAAATACAAGTATTTCCAGAGATGTAATAATTATCAATACAAGAAGTACAAAGAGTAAGTGAATTACAATTTTAACAAGGAGTTATACAACTTTGACAAATAAATGAGTTATCCATATAATATGTTTGTTAACATGTGCAAGATGTTAATTATTAAAGTGTTGGATCATTGCATGATGTACAGACTGAAGCTGAAGTGCAATTAATACAAGGCAATTAACAAGGTTAGCAAATAATATTTTCATAAAAACCATCATCGCAAATGCATTAATTACTAGATAAATGTCTATTTAGACCAGTAATACAAGAATTACAATTAGTAGCTGATGTCGAACATGTCTAACATGGATTTGTACAATTCTCACATGTTGTAGGTGTAGTATTTAATTCAAATTAATTATTTTAACATGAACATGTTCCTGAGTTTATTGTATAGGTAGTTGCACATGTTTAACAATTTGTTACAGATGTTTAACAAGTAGAACATGGATATGTGCATTATTCACATAAATAGTTTGAAGTATTCATGATGTATCCTGGTATACAATCACATAATGATGGTGTTTATTTTGATGTATCTATACAAGTATCACATGATGTAACACTAGTTGAACATGTTACACATGGTTTAGTACATGATATGCAAACTGTACCACTTAATAAATATCCATCATAACATTAAGTACATACTGATGTTGAACTACATATTTTACAATTATTTGGACAATTATCACAATAATAGGTCGATGTGTTCATAATTTTACCTTCTTTACATGCACAAGTAGGAGTAACTTAATTAGTTGTATCAACACAAGAAGAGCAATTTGTATTGCTGGATAAACAATTTACACAAGGTTTAGTACAAGCATAACAAACATTTGAATTTACATAATAACCACCAAAACATTTTTAACAATTATTTGACCATGTACATGTTTCACAATTACTGCGACAATTTTGACAACTTCCCAATACATTATAATATCCTGGTTTACATGTAATACATCCCCAATTATNTACTTCATAATATGATGATGGACATTCACATGTGTTAGGAAGAGTTGTACTCATAACATATGTTGATGAGCAATCAGTACAATAATTAGGGTTTGTTTAGCATTTACTACATGGATGATTACAAGGTTAACATAATAATGCATTGTCCATATAATATCCATCATCACATATACATGTATCATTAGAGATAGTTTAATTTGGATTAGCACATGATGTACATTTATTAGAAAGATCTATACAGTTATAACATGGTAATACACATTAAATACAAGTATTTCCAGAGATGTAATAATTATCAATACAAGAAGTACAAAGAGTAAGTGAATTACAATTTTAACAAGGAGTTATACAACTTTGACAAATAAATGAGTTATCCATATAATATGTTTGTTAACATGTGCAAGATGTTAATTATTAAAGTGTTGGATCATTGCATGATGTACAGACTGAAGCTGAAGTGCAATTAATACAAGGCAATTAACAAGGTTAGCAAATAATATTTTCATAAAAACCATCATCGCAAATGCATTAATTACTAGATAAATGTCTATTTAGACCAGTAATACAAGAATTACAATTAGTAGCTGATGTCGAACATGTCTAACATGGATTTGTACAATTCTCACATGTTGTAGGTGTAGTATTTAATTCAAATTAATTATTTTAACATGAACATGTTCCTGAGTTTATTGTATAGGTAGTTGCACATGTTTAACAATTTGTTACAGATGTTTAACAAGTAGAACATGGATATGTGCATTATTCACATAAATAGTTTGAAGTATTCATGATGTATCCTGGTATACAATCACATAATGATGGTGTTTATTTTGATGTATCTATACAAGTATCACATGATGTAACACTAGTTGAACATGTTACACATGGTTTAGTACATGATATGCAAACTGTACCACTTAATAAATATCCATCATAACATTAAGTACATACTGATGTTGAACTACATATTTTACAATTATTTGGACAATTATCACAATAATAGGTCGATGTGTTCATAATTTTACCTTCTTTACATGCACAAGTAGGAGTAACTTAATTAGTTGTATCAACACAAGAAGAGCAATTTGTATTGCTGGATAAACAATTTACACAAGGTTTAGTACAAGCATAACAAACATTTGAATTTACATAATAACCACCAAAACATTTTTAACAATTATTTGACCATGTACATGTTTCACAATTACTGCGACAATTTTGACAACTTCCCAATACATTATAATATCCTGGTTTACATGTAATACATCCCCAATTATTACATGAATCACAATCACTATCACAACATTTTGCTAACTGACAATTTACTAATTACCTTAGTTGATTATTAATGTTGTAATCAATAACAATTAAATGAATTTCGTTTTTATGTTCCTATATTACATATTAAACTTTTATTAATTCAATTTTTTTAATTTTATGAATTTCTACACTCTACTAGATGAAATTGTAAAAAGGACGCAGTTTTACAATTGATGATGTCATTATAAAGAATAAAATTATTGTATCAAATTGTCATTTTATGTTATTATTATAATCATAGAATAATAATTATTATGACAATAGTAATATATTTTGATCAAGTGTTATTAATATAATACAGAGAAATTTGATTTAATTTATAATAAATAATTTATATTGTTTATATAAATATGGGTTGTCTTACTTCCTCTTCAAAAGATGAAGATATAAGCATGGCTTTATAAAGTTCTAAGAAACTTAAAATAGTAATAGTAGGATTAGAGGGGAGTGGTAAAACAGCGATACTTTAATATTTGAAAAATGGAAAATATACAGAAACTTAACCTACAATAGGTATTGGTAAATGAAATTAGGTTTGAATGTGGAAACAATATAATTTAAAGCAAGGCATTATTTAATATTTGATGTAGGGGGAAAAGTTAGAACATTATGGTCACATTATTATGAAAATTTAGATGGATTAGTATTTGTTGTAGATACAACAGATTCTGATAGAAATGAGATTGTTAAAAATGAATTAAAGAAATTGGGAAGCGAAATTAAATAGAAAGTATAATATAATCTAAAATAGATAGTGTTGCTGATTTATTAGAATAAAATAGATTTACCAAGATCAACACCTTTAGAATTATGCAAAGATATTCAATAATAGGAATCAGAAATAGTAATGTAAAGATGTAGTGCAAAAACAGGAGAAGGTATTTGGGAAGGTATTGATAAAATGAATAAATTATTGGATCATAAGTTTTAATAGTGATATAATTTATTTAATGTTTGGATATGCTTCAAGAATAGCAAATAATCTTAGATTTAGTTTCTGTACTTTAAACAGATAAACTTAAGGAAAGCCAAGCATCAAACCAACATATACCAATTAATCTTATACCTTTGATGTGATCAATCACTATGATTAAATCAGCAAAATTAAAGGAAAAGGTGCCATTGTGTCATTAATGCCTTGTTATGTATATATTTAATATTATCTAGCCCCAATATTAAATTACCAAGCAAGGCTCAGTTGTTGTCAAGATGAAATATACAAGAAATTATATTTATTTATGGAGATTTTAACCAATGCCAGAAGTTGGAAAAGAAGTAATTTATAATACTATCAATTCTAGGTTAATAATAAAGAATCTTTAAATTTTCCTATTAGTTATGAGAATTGTGGTTATATCATAGAATTATGTGATCTATTGAAAACTAATCCTGAAATCAAACTTGAAGAATAGACTATCAAAGGCAATCTCACTTTCACCATTTAAATTGATTATACAAATAAAGCAGCTAGAATTTAATTATAAGCTATCCCTTAATCATAATAGTAATAATCATCTTAACAATAATAACAATAATAAGATTAGAAATTTGAAGTTTAAATTGGTTTAGCATAATTTAAATTAATATGTGAATAAATGAAAGTAAACGATTATTAATAATTAATAGTAAGGTTTACCATTAGTAACAGGCTGGGTGATCCCTGAAAAATTTATGTTTTAAGTAAACAAAGAAATATCAGAATGATTAAAATTCATTTTCATACCAGATTAATTTCTTAAAGTCAATCATTTTTATTCTATTTATATACAAAGTTCCTTAAATTCTAAATACTATTTTGTTGAGTTAATCATATTTTCAATTTTATCTAATTGTCCTTCACATTTATTCATATAATGAGACATTATATTATTAAATGATTTCATTTACATTTCTTTTATTATATTGATCTCATTCAAAGGTATGTCATCATACATTTATTTAATCGATTCTTTTATTTCATAAATGTTGGTTTTTTAATTATTTGTTATTACTTAATTTATGTTTGATAGTGAAAGTTATGCAATTAGAAATTCTCATAAATCATATATTTCTGGAAAGACTTATGAAGATATCTAATCTTAACCATCATCTCCACATAAACTTACAAGAATTAATGATTTAAAAAACTAAGTTGAAAATTATTTGGATATGTTAGAATCAAAAGTAACATTAGTTAAAGAAAAAGCTCTTTCTGAATTTATTGTAGCATATAATGGTTATATGAGATAAGTTAAAGAAGATTTAAAATATTTAAAAGAGAAAAGTCTTGAAATAGAGAAATTCTATAAAGATAACAAGAGCATTTAAAATATGGAGTAATAATTAGAATGGTTTAGAGAAGAAAGTGTTAAACTTTATACTAAAATTGAACTAAAAAACAAAGAAATCTTTGAATTGAAATTTAGATTGCAAGAAGTTGAAAAAGAAAATGAGTTTCTTGAATAATAAATTAAAGAATTGATGCGAAAGAATAAGAAATATGAAGTTATTAGACATACAGCAAGTGTAGCTACAGAATAAGCAGAATAAATTAAAGAACCATAATAATTATTTTGTACTTAACCTAGACCTAAAAGGATTATGTCTGGATAAGCTTAACCAAAACATATAAAATAATTGTAAGATATATTTGAAAAATTAACTAATGATGATTAAACTTAAATTATAAATGAAATTGCTTAATATGTTTCCTTTATTGAAAATACTTAAACTAAATAGATACATTTATTACGATAAAAAATGAATTAAGCAATTAGTCAATCTACAAAAGCATTTGCGACAAGAAGTGAATATGAAGAGTTTTTTATTGATTGTGTTGAAGTATTTATTTGTAAATAAAAAAGTAAGTTCGTAAAGATATTATGCGTCGACGTTAAAATGTACAATTAGAAAATAAATTATCAGATTTTAATGTTTTTCGTAAAGAAGATAAACTCAAAGTCTTAGAACTTGTTTTAATGAATGACAGATTATTACAAACTTTGCATCAAAAAATATTTCCGACTTCTCAAGTTGCATAATTATTGGAACCAACAACAATATAAACAGATTATCAAGATATATTATAATAAATTGATAAGAAGAGAAGTTTTTCAACAAAAGACAGAATGATTATAAAAAAAGGAAAGTTGCTATATAAGTGATATAATTGATAAAACTAATTTAAGTGATTCATAAAATTAATATATAAATGTATTAATAAACAATAACTAGATGTACTAGTAATCTTAGGATAAAGCTAAATCAAAGAGCAGCTATTCAATTTAATGATTATCATTAAAGGTTTCTGTTACATAATATACTTATTAAAGTATTTATGATTATGATATGCAGAATTAATAAATTAAAACACTTTAGAAATATAATGTGTGATATGAAAATGTGTTAAATTTGAAATAATCTTTTGGAAAGATAAATTTATTAGAGCAAATAAAGATTACAACTATTACTTTGCTTAAAAAGAATATAGTTTAACATAAATTAGATTTATTAACTATTAAGTAAATTAGTATAATAAGATTATGTTGAATTATGTTTATATAAATTTTTTTGTATAAATATTTATTAATGGTCTTTTATATTATTGGATTGGGACTTGGGGATCATCTTGATATTACAGTTAAAGGACTTGAGGTAAATTAATAATATATTTAAGGCTGTGAAAACGTGTAAATAAATTTATTTAGAAAGCTATACATCAATACTAGGAATCAATAGATTAAAACTTTAAGAATTTTATGGAAAAGAAGTTATTGAAGCTGATAGAGAATGTTGTGAAACTGGGATTGATGAAATACTTTAAAATGTCTCAATAGATCTTTAAAATAATTATGCATTCTTAGTTGTTGGTGATCCATTTTGTGCTACTACACATACAGATCTCTTTTTAAGAGCAGTTAAATTAGGAATAAAAGTAGAAGTGATTCATAATGCATCAATAATCAATGCTATTGGTTGTACTGGTTTACAAGTTTATAGATTTGGAGAAACAGTATCTGTACCATTTTTTACTGAAAAATGGAAGCCTTATAGTTTTTATCCAAAGATAAAGGCTAATTTAGATCATAATTTACATACTTTAGTTTTATTAGATATAAAAGTCAAAGAAATTTCAGAAGAAAATTTAGCAAGAGGTAAAAAAATTTATGAAGCTCCAAAATTCATGAGTACTCAAATTGCTGTTTAATAAATTATTGAATCAGATAAATAATTAGGTTTAAATTCAATAGATGAAAAAACTAAGTGTTTTGGAGTTGCTAGAGTTGGATTTGAAACATAAAAAGTAATTAAATATTTTTTATATATGAGATTGTTTCTGGTTTCTTACATGAATTTTTAGACATTGATATGGGACCACCTTTACATTCATTTGTTATTTGTGCTAAAGAATTACATCCAATAGAAGAAGAAATGTTTTAGTTTTATAGAAACAATTAACAAAAAATAGATTGATATATTTATTTTCATTCTTTTTGCAATTGTTCAATTAAGAATTAAGGATTAATTTTCTTTAATTAGCTTTTTGGAACTTATACAATTATTGGTTTATTCTTTGTATCTTCAATAGGAGGTAGCTTACTTGAAATGGATTGATCTTTTACAGATTGTTTTTTATATTGAGCAATAATTTATTCATTGAGATCTAATTTTTATTATTCTTCCAAATACCTAAAGAATAATTAAAATATTCTTTTACTATTTATCTTTTTTCTTTTTTTCTTAATTCTCATATTTATTAGATTTAGCATCAGTCTTAGGAGCACTTAATGAATGATCATGTAATTGATTTTCTTCATCTCTCTAAAGCAACTTTTTTCTTCATTATCAAAATTAGTTACATCAATACATTTAATTTACTTGTCACTGAGTCTTGCTTTGCAATATATTCTTTGAGTTACTTAATTTATAGAGCTTATTCTTCCTTTTCATTTTTAAATTATTCCATTTGTTGCGTTAATATTCTAATCAATAGTATAAAATACTTATTTTATTTCTCTAAAGCTACAATTTTTTTTTGTAAAACAATTTTTTCCCTTTTCTATTATAAAACTAATTAGGAGAGTTGGAGATTGCGATCATCGATATTAGAATTTAGATCCAAGTTTTCCATTAATTATTAATTTATATAAATAATGTAATAAGGAGAGGAAACATAAGAGAAAAAAGAGAATGAGAATGCCCATAATATATAAGTGTAAAATTTAATGGACAAAATAAAAATTATCTTAATAATGAGATAATTGAAAGAAGATAGTATACCAATAGAAATAATACCAAATCTTTATTTGGGATGTTTGGGATGTGCATTAAATAAGAAGAAACTGTTAGAGTGTAAATTGATAAGATACTATATATAGAAAACATGAAATATATATTATCTGCTTGTGAAATGCCAAAGGCACCATTTTCTTAAGATTTCACATCTTTAATAATAAATATCAATGACAGCATAGATTAAGATATAAAATCGAAATTTAATGAATCAAATGCATTTATAGAGAATGCAGTTAATTCATAGTAAAGTATTTTAGTTCATTGGTATAAATTTATAAATATTCAGTTTCGCTGGAAAATCAAGGTCAACTACATTTATTATTGCATATTTGATTAAGAATCATAAAATGACAGTAATTGAAGCCTTGGATTTAGTGAAATCGAAACGACCAATAGCTTAACCGAATGCAGGGTTCATGAAATAGCTTCAGTAATATTATGATACATTATACAATAATAATATTGATGGAAAACAGTAAGAATGATTTATATTATTTTTATGATTTATCATACATATTTATTTTTTTACAGTAATGCTTGTTATGCTAATTCTATAATGAATATTACTAAATATTATTACTTTATCTTTGAGCTTCAAGATTATTAGGAACTCCAACTCTTTCATTTAACAATTTTGTTTTTTAATCTAAATTATCAAGTTACTCTTTAAATTTGTCTGCTCGCTTAAGATTTTCATCAAATCTGACTTACTTTTATCCATTCTATACTTCTGATCTTGTAGGAGATCTATTTTAAATAGTAGAAGCAGATCCCATAGGTCCAGTTTAAGGTTTTTTGACTTAATTCAATATTTATTCTATTTCTTCATCTTCTCCTCTAATTTTTTTTTTTGATGATTTATCTTTTTTATCTTTCTTTTTTCCTTTAAACCAAAATTAATATAGTAGTACAATTACAATAGCTATTATAATAATTGGGAATCTAAAATTTGAGAAGATATCTGTGTCTTTTTTTTAAGGCATAGTAATTTCAAAATAACTGATCAGTTCATGATCATTTTATACTTCTCTAGTGAGTAAATAATGTGATGCTCCATTTCCTTTAATAGATTATAAAACAACTTATTAACCATTTATTTATTTAAAGAATTCAAGTGTAAATGGTTATTCATAATCTACTTCAGTCAAAATATCTGTAGTATTATATAATAAGGATTCTCTACTATTTTAGTCATATACAATTAAATAGTGTCTTAAACTATATAGTTTTGCATTATTAAAGACAATTGAAGTTTATTGATTATTCACTAATTTCAATTTCATTTTGCATTAATCATTTTATTTGATTTCAAAAACATATACTTCTCCTTAATCTGATAAAGCATAAACAATATTTGTTTATTGAATATCTAAAGCCAAATGAACAACTTAAAATGGTAACTAAGAATAATTAATGAAGATATACATTATCACAAATTGGTTATACAATTTCTACATTTATTGGATTTATATATCCAAATCCAGTAGCCGTTAAATATAACATATTTGGATATGATTTTATCACTTATAAGATTGGAGTATTGAAATTCTTTTCACCTACTAATGTTCCATTTCGATTATATACACTATTTTTATTATATTTATATAAATACTAAACACTTCCACTATTTGAACCAAATAGTATATATTTTGTACCTTTTACCATTGCATAAATCATTGATGTAATTTATTAATTTTCTACATTCATTTCGAATTCTTTGTTTAATTATATCACTAATTTTGTCTTTGGTTTTTAAGATTCAAGTTATTCTACTGAAATTCTTTAATTTTCTATTTTATACAATGCAAATTGTCCAATCTTATCTAAATATTATAAAATTAATCAAAATACTTGCTAAAGCTATAATTGGATCATCTGCCCTATTACTAATAGATACATATTAAGGTTAAAATTCTATTATTTTAATAATTGTCTACCTAATTATGTATTTACAATCATTGTATTAGATAAATCATAAATCTCAATTTCCTGTTTATTTGTTACTACATATAACATTTAAGTAAATGAATTATCAGTTGTTGGAGATTTATATTAGAAACTATCAATTTATAAATAATTGTTTACGTTTATATCAATGATGCATCCAAAATTGAATTTGTAATATTAAATTAATATTTCTTTAACATTCTATTAGTAAATGATCTCTCTTTATTTAAATTCTATTTTCCACTATTCTGACTCTTATAAGGTTTCTTCTATACAACCTCTTAAAGTGTTTCTTAATCTATTTACTATTCCTATTTTAATCATTCAATACAGGAATGTTTTATTAATTGATTATCACCATCTCTCTCAATTCCTTTAAGTAATGCAACTTCTCGCTCTACAATTATATTAAATGCTCTAATTAAGCTATCTCTGTTTCAATCAAATCAGCATCTCTTGTCACTATACAAACCAACACAACTAATATTATTAATAGCATTCAGATTTTTTTATTAATTAAATATTCACATTTATTTTTTTGTATTCAAACATTATTTATCCTATTCTTTTATTTATCATACACTTTAATTATTTTTATTAACCCATGAATAACAATAATCTCAATTCCTTTAAATAATATTAAACATTCTCTACTTATCAATCTAGAACTATATTACCTGAAAATAATCTATAATCAATCAAACTTTAAGAATATACCAGACCTGAAATTTAGAGAATCAATTTAAAAATAGATTAAATGCTTGATACTTTAAATTAATACACTCCTTCTTTAATGAATCATTAGAAATAATAATAAGAATCTAACTTTAATAATAATAGCTAATTAGAAACATAACTTCCACCTTCTCAATATAATTCATTTATTGGGAAACAATAAATTCCTCAATCGTAATAATAACAATATTAATCCTTAAATTTTCAACCAAGATATTAATCCCTATAATATTCTCTAACTCCTTAATAGACTTAATTTTAATACAATACAAATCTCAAATAAGAATTTGATGAGTATACTTAATTTAAAGACTTCATTAAAGCAAAAAAACTTGTACTTAATACTAATGCTCCTCTTTCCGATTTATATAAATATTATCTTGAAAATGATGTTTATTCTAAAACTTAATACTATAGGTTTCAAGAGGATAAAGTTAATAAGATTATTTTATAAAAATGAACAATTGACATTAATAATTTGTTAATTTATTATTTTTGAAAACTAATAATATTATAATAACAAAATCAATTTAAAGAAGCAGCTAATACTTCTTACCATGTTATTAGATTATCTATTCTCTCAATAAAAGCCTTTCGATTATTAATTTCATTACTATTGATCTAATTATTTTTGGTATCCACTTTTAATATTTTCTTAAATAGAATCTAGAATTTAAAAAAGGATTACTTATGTGGTGATTGGACATTTAAGAATTTAAGTAAGGAAAAATTCAGCAAAAGGGACATTTTCTACAGATGATTTAATTTTTTATTTATCCAAAGATCTTAAATCCCATTCACCTTATGATGTTGGTAAATAAACACCTATTTCTTGTGTTGTCTAAACATCAAAAACTGAGAATTTAACTCCACACATTCTTCTATTTGCACCAATTACTGAAATAGTAACTACAGATATTTTATTATTATCATATAAAATCATCCTATAAATTTAATAAATAGAAAGTACCNATCCTATTCTTTTATTTATCATACACTTTAATTATTTTTATTAACCCATGAATAACAATAATCTCAATTCCTTTAAATAATATTAAACATTCTCTACTTATCAATCTAGAACTATATTACCTGAAAATAATCTATAATCAATCAAACTTTAAGAATATACCAGACCTGAAATTTAGAGAATCAATTTAAAAATAGATTAAATGCTTGATACTTTAAATTAATACACTCCTTCTTTAATGAATCATTAGAAATAATAATAAGAATCTAACTTTAATAATAATAGCTAATTAGAAACATAACTTCCACCTTCTCAATATAATTCATTTATTGGGAAACAATAAATTCCTCAATCGTAATAATAACAATATTAATCCTTAAATTTTCAACCAAGATATTAATCCCTATAATATTCTCTAACTCCTTAATAGACTTAATTTTAATACAATACAAATCTCAAATAAGAATTTGATGAGTATACTTAATTTAAAGACTTCATTAAAGCAAAAAAACTTGTACTTAATACTAATGCTCCTCTTTCCGATTTATATAAATATTATCTTGAAAATGATGTTTATTCTAAAACTTAATACTATAGGTTTCAAGAGGATAAAGTTAATAAGATTATTTTATAAAAATGAACAATTGACATTAATAATTTGTTAATTTATTATTTTTGAAAACTAATAATATTATAATAACAAAATCAATTTAAAGAAGCAGCTAATACTTCTTACCATGTTATTAGATTATCTATTCTCTCAATAAAAGCCTTTCGATTATTAATTTCATTACTATTGATCTAATTATTTTTGGTATCCACTTTTAATATTTTCTTAAATAGAATCTAGAATTTAAAAAAGGATTACTTATGTGGTGATTGGACATTTAAGAATTTAAGTAAGGAAAAATTCAGCAAAAGGGACATTTTCTACAGATGATTTAATTTTTTATTTATCCAAAGATCTTAAATCCCATTCACCTTATGATGTTGGTAAATAAACACCTATTTCTTGTGTTGTCTAAACATCAAAAACTGAGAATTTAACTCCACACATTCTTCTATTTGCACCAATTACTGAAATAGTAACTACAGATATTTTATTATTATCATATAAAATCATCCTATAAATTTAATAAATAGAAAGTACCTTTTATAAGAACCACAATCATAAGAATTTTGAATGATAGGATTCTTATCAAATTATTCTTAACTTTACTCACATGCTTTTTCAAAAACATTTAGATTAAATGAATATAGAATTTATTAAAATATTACAATCTTTTCTTCTGTTGCTAAACTATCATATTTTACTGAGAATTCTCTTTAAATTGATGAATAAGGAAGTTTTGTTTATCCTTTCGCTTTAATCTTAGTTTTGTTTGGACCAAAAGTTTCAAAACAATTATGTAAACATATTTAAACTACTTATTGTTCCTGATTATCAATTACTAATTATAATTAATTCTTAGTTCCTGTATTCCAACTTTTACATCTAAAATATTTTTATCCAAATAAAGTATTCGAGAATGAAATACCTAAAGATTTCAAAAATTATTCAAAAGATATTACAATATTCTTTAAATATTTGAGAAATTCTAAAGGATTTTTTAATATTATATTTTCAGTCATAAATGTTTCATTTAATGATATTGATTAATTTACCTATCTAACTTTATTTTTATCAAAATGTCTTTCTTATAATGCTTCAGCTACATCATCATCACCAAATTTAGGAGTCTTTTCAGTCATCTTAAGTAATGTAGTTTTACTAAAGAATGCATATTAATCTTTAATTGTTTTAGCATCTTTAAAAAAAGCATCCATAGTTGAATAATCTAATTCTAAATCCAATCTTAAAGTATCCTTACTTATTGGATCACATATGGATATCCTAAATTAATCAGTTTCAATATGATAAATATAAATTAGACAATTAGTATCCATAAAATCAATTCTTAGGGTCAATCCATTCAATAATCCATATGGTTTAGGCCAGAACTATAATTTCATCTCTTGTGTTATTTCATCTGGAACAACTGCAGTATATGGTAATACCAGAAATTTAAAGAATTAATGAGTTGTATTAATGCTAGGTTAATTAGTTGGTAGCATTTCTTAAAAATCTACATAAGTTATTAAACCTTTTAACAATTCTAAATTTATATTTTCTTAACATATCATTGAATTTTTATCGTCAAATGCTCTAAGAATTATAGATTTACCCTCATCTTTATTTTCAATTACACATGCTTCTACTCTATAATTTGCAATATTCTAAAAATCACAATTCCATTGATTGTTTTCATCTTATGATGTTGATTAATATTTTGTATACATCTTAGAAAATGTTACATTTGTATCAAGCATTTCAAGTAATTGTATAATATAACTTTAGTTCTGTTTATATGCATATGGAGTTGTGTCATCCATTTAAATAAAATCTTCATCTGGAAAATGATTAAAAATTTATTCCTTTTAAACTACTTTTGGTGGTATTTGAATATTCATTGCTGCTGTCTATGTTATTGGTTTTGATTCCTATTAATTTAAAGCCTATGTAGTTTAAGCAGCTTATTATTATAAAAGGTTTTATTAATATATTATCATTTATTACTATTAAGATTGAGATTGCAATAATTTCTCTAATTAAGATTGTTTAGAGATCAAATCTTATAACTATGTTTTTAATTCAATTACTTCACTTTATTTTTATTCTTTTTCTTTTTTATTATTTGAATTTTCATTTTTAATTTAAAATAGATTATTTTCCAATAGATCTATTTTTTTCTTCAATTATTCTGATAATTAATTATTTTCAGGTTCTTATTTTTTTGTTGTTTATTATTGAGTATATAGTTATTTTAATTCATCTAGTTCTCTTTATTAGACAACTAATTTATTTTAAATAATTTCAAATTCTTAAGAATCAAATTAATTAATTTTACCAGATGAATGTAATGATCCAGATGATAATTATTAATTAAGAGGAGGTCTATTTGTTAAAGGTTTAGTAGCTGTGTTAGCAGGTATTTGAGTTTAAGAATTATTATTGGAAAGAACATTAAAATTTTATTATTTAAACTTGCTTTAATTTGGGCTATTAAGATCATTTTTTATTTATTTAATTTAAAATTGCTTACCTGAGCTAGGTCGAATAGGATCATCACTAAAAATAGACAAAACTTTCTCCTTTTTTTTACTTTCAGGTAATATTCTAATAATAAATAAAATTTTAATACCTTTCCATAAGTGTGTAAATATATGGTTACGTTATTAGATTAGTAGATAAACGGTCTATATCAAACATCTCTTTATAATTTTTGAGGTATAACATGTCCAGTGAGTCTAATAAAAATTAATGTATTAGTGCTTCTTATGAAACCATTTACGAACGATTAAGATCAGGACTCATTTTTCGATGCAATCCATTAATTTATTCAAAAATCATTTGACCTAAATATTTTTGAGATAATTTAGAAGCATTATAAATGAACTTTCTTTTCAGATCAGTAATTGATGAATCATTAGGTTTTCCAATTATTTCTAAAGCCTACTTACTTAAACCAATTCGACTCGATAATTCTAATTACTCGCTCAATAAAATATATGCAATAACTAATGTACTGATATCACTTTAGGTTGGTATAGAGTTGGACTTAAATTACTAAAATATAAAGCCTTCTAATTGTTCAAACAATACTACAGCTCCTTTTAAAGAACGCAATATATCATATTGATTAAGTAGAAACATACAACGTAATTGAATGCGATTATATGAGACTGAAATTGAATCCAATTGATATTCTAATTGAAATGAAGTAAAATCAGGATTTAGAGTTAACATTTCTTAGAATATCTCTAATAAACGTGTTGCATTTCCAGATTTACCAATTAATTATTCATGGCAGTGCAATATTAGATATTTTAGAACATCTTTGTGTTGTTTTTCAGTATATGCATCAAAAAGAATATTAATAAAATTGATTTCTTCATAGAGGTTTAGCTAATATACTTTAAGAATGAGATTAAGTAGTTCTTATTGTGATAAATTATCGATGTTGAGATCATGTTAAATGAATGTAGAGATCATTTTCTATATTTTGGTTGTGTTATTGGTGTAGAGGATTTCTTATAAGAGATGCTGATATATTGAATTTAATAGGTACTTTTTGATTCTTGTCTCTCTTTGAAAATGCCTCATTGTCAGTTTCAATTAATTTTTAGAGTGGACCCGTCATTGGTGAAGTTTTGGCACTTGAAACATATCGTCTTGTACTGGCATTGTAATTGGTAGAGTACGTACTAGAAAATTTAGACATCTATTGTGCTGAGTACATAAATAATTAATAAAAGGGGGGGATTTCATATATATTAATAAAAATGGAAAAGAGATTTTACAAGACATGTTCAAAGCATGCTTACTATTAATACATCAATAGATTTGATCCAAAATTGTTAGCAACTTACTAGACAGGATATTATCACGGCATAGGTCGACAGTAAGATATTAAATAACAACTATCAAAGAGGATTATTCAAGACTTTGGTGTTAAGATAAGCAGGTGATAGCATAGGAATGGAAGAGGATCACAGTTATACCTACAAGATGCATGTGATTGCCATGAATTTGATGTACAGAAGTGGTTGGGTTTTGTTTGCTTATATTATAATTTGGAATACATTCTTATTGGGAGATCCATGCTAAGTATTGAATAATAATAAATGAATAGGTGTTTAATACTTCTTATTGGGATTTAGCATGTAAACCTTCTGGTGATATGGATTACAATACAAGATATGAGATGCTGTACGTGCAGGACAGAGTATTAAGATTCTGATCTTATTATATATTAATCATAAACAAAAAAAATTATTATAGTAAATAAAATGAGTAAATTGAATGATCAATATTTGGTTTAGTTTTTGTTTTCCCAGATGAAATTTTTAAGAATTTAATCTATAATAAACTAAGGAACGCTTCTTAATAAATTGTATGATTAGTATATTTCTGATTTGTTTAAGATTATTTGTAAATAAGAAATAATTTATTATTAAATTTAGTATTCGAATTTGATTTAGATTATTTTGAGTATAATTTTGTGTTTTGATATGATTAGATAATTTTTTTTAAATTTTAATATAGATGAAAATTATCATTGATTTGAACTTTTATTAGATTTTTAATTATCATTATTTATTTAAATAGGATAGAATTGATTTAATTGAAACTTGAATTGTAAGAAAAATATAAGGTTGTTTATATCATTAGATTCACAAATAATACAATTAACATCTAAATAATTTGAAGAGTCTTTATTTTAGATCATCCGATTGAAGGTTGTCCTTTTAATAAAAGAGTGCATCATCAGTAGTGATTAATTTAAATAGAGAGAAATCAATTTGGTGTACAATAAAAAATAAAAATAATCACTTTAAATTTCTTATGTAAGGTAATACTTTATTTCTCCATTCTTAATCAAATGTTTCAGTTCTAAAAGCTTAGACTCCACTTTTCAAGATTTGAAGTTTATTTGATCCAAATCTAAATGCTTATGATAGATGATCAAACAAATCATCAGGAGTATCAAAAACAATTCCATTTTTTTAATGTTATACTAATTCTGAGATTCTAAAATATAATATAATAAAAAACTTACGCTTTAAATGATTTGGCAAAGACAGGTGTGCCAGCTCCAAACATATCTACTACTTTCATTGGCAAATCTAAGCCAGAAGAAGAGTAATGTAAACATATACCTAAATCAGCACAACCTAATAATTTAGGGTAATCATCAATATCTAACCAAGCTAAATTTACTTTTACATAATTCCAACAAATATTGCATTTTTAAAAGATTTCTTTAAATTCTTCTTTCATAGGTCCCTTACCTGTTATAACCACATATAATTTTCTATATTCTCTTCCTTATTCAATATCTATATTTATATAATAAAATTACTTGCTAATTCTTCATATTTTTATAATGCCTATACTAATATATTAAAATCTTCATCTTTTGTCCAAGAAGTGCTACTTACTATTAATCCTGGTCTATTCTCTTTTTCTATTACTTCCTAATTATTTCTCTCCTCTGTAAACAATGTCTCATTATGACTTAATACTTCCCATTACCAATGAAAATCCAATTTCATTAATAATTCATGTTTCTCTCTTGCCTTACTAATCACATTGAAATTTATATTTGCTTTATCATATACTACTGTAGCTCTATGGTATATAAGATATATATTTATACTTTATTCTCCAATTCTACTATAAATCATTCTACATAGCACCAGAAACACATAATGCCATATCTTATGATCTACTAAATTAATGTTCATAATATCTAGCCATCTTTAAAATCAATTTGTTTTTCATTTGCAATCCCAATATTGTATGACCATAATTATGAAAATCTATTATTATCTTTGATCTACGAATCCCCTTTATTAAACTTACTATATGCAATACTGGAATAGAAGGAGGATTCTATACCAATATAAACTCTTATTTCCTACTAAACAACAACAATAAAAATAAATATATTGATTGCAATACTATACGCATTAATGCATACAGTAAATATAAGAATCTAGGCATTTTCTTCAATTAATTTACTATCCAGAGATTTAAATCTACTATTCTAATATTTGGATTTGATAATAAAGCCTATGTTGGCTTATTATCCAAATATCCATAAAAATTTATACGATATTCTGTGTTATCAGCTATTGCTAAAGCATGATTCACCATTCTTGGAGATCTTCCGATGTCCCCAAAAACTATTATGGAACATTATTTCATTGATGTATTATTTATATTATTGTATATTATTGCATATTATTTTTTAATTACTCAAACAACCTTAGAAATCACATTTATTTAATTAAATATACATATTCTATTTATTCCTTTTAACAAGATTTATTTTATTTTGATCATAATCATACTTAAATTTTTATTTATATTTATACTTTTATTAATCATACAATTTTAAAAATCTCAGCAATTATTTGAATATGTGATTAATTTTTCAAATATTAATTACTTTTTGAAAAAGGATAAATAAATTTGATTAAATATATTAAATAATGATCAAAATAATAAGAAGTGAGAATAATTTTTAAGTTCATTAATATTATAAAAGGGCTTTCGAAGTGTAAAACATTTCTTTTAAGTTTTATATTTTTTCTACATGATTCGTACACTTTTATCAATCTTGAATATAAAGAAGAGGATACTTAATCGACATAATTTTTATATCTAGTTTAATTAACCATTTATGATCGTTCTCTCATTCTATCCTTTCTTTTTAAAAATACTTCATTAATTTAGATTCCAACATTTTTTTATTCGAACTCAGAGTAACTCTTATTCCTTTGTTAAATAGATCGGTGAAATTCAAGTGCAGTTTTTTATTAAGATTCGATCACCTAACTCATCCTGGTCTTGTTAACACTTTTGCTACTCTAACAACTTACAATTGAATATTATGTCTTGTTTTCTTCCATTTTTCTAACTACTATTCGACATTATGCAACTTGTTTATAATGTGAGCTTATCTATTAAATGTACATCTTTTATCTCTTTCAAACATTTCTTATTCTTACAACTTCTATTTAGCTTCTCTCTCAGCCTATAATATCTTTAACTTCTCTTAAATATCAATTTAATTTGTAATTCCTTTAACAGGACTTGAAGGAAGAGAAGCAATTCGTTATTTGGCCATAGGTTCACCTGGCAAGAAGAGTACTTTTGGAATCCTCAAACGACCCAATTATTATTATAAAGTTCCATTTTCATTTTATGAATGAGTTCTCATTATTTATATAAATATTATATTTTAACGCTAATTATTATGACAGATGAGATGTTTTTAGGATTAACTTCAATACAATAATTTGATGCAAAGTTAAGATAATTTCATTAGAAAAGACACTCAATGAGTTAAATTAGTACAGCACATAATTCTACATTAAAAAGTCGAAAATCTACAATAGGAGATGGAATTCCGATGGTTTCATTTTTAGATACTTTTGTTGAAAGAGTTCATTATTTAGTAACTCATTGTAATGAACCATCAGATAGAAATGAATGTGTTCGTATTGCTTTAGAATTAGGAATATCCTTTTATAAAGTATAAAGCCTTAGTTCTTAATAAGATAGAGAAGATTTCCTTATTAAATAACTATAAAATTAAGTATTTGATTAATTAAGATCATGGAATATGAAATTAGAGTAAAGAGAACTTTAACGCAATAAAACTAAAATAGTTTAAGAAAATGAAAATAATCTCAATATTTTTAATTGGGTTGAAATTCACACTAAATNCTTTTTGAAAAAGGATAAATAAATTTGATTAAATATATTAAATAATGATCAAAATAATAAGAAGTGAGAATAATTTTTAAGTTCATTAATATTATAAAAGGGCTTTCGAAGTGTAAAACATTTCTTTTAAGTTTTATATTTTTTCTACATGATTCGTACACTTTTATCAATCTTGAATATAAAGAAGAGGATACTTAATCGACATAATTTTTATATCTAGTTTAATTAACCATTTATGATCGTTCTCTCATTCTATCCTTTCTTTTTAAAAATACTTCATTAATTTAGATTCCAACATTTTTTTATTCGAACTCAGAGTAACTCTTATTCCTTTGTTAAATAGATCGGTGAAATTCAAGTGCAGTTTTTTATTAAGATTCGATCACCTAACTCATCCTGGTCTTGTTAACACTTTTGCTACTCTAACAACTTACAATTGAATATTATGTCTTGTTTTCTTCCATTTTTCTAACTACTATTCGACATTATGCAACTTGTTTATAATGTGAGCTTATCTATTAAATGTACATCTTTTATCTCTTTCAAACATTTCTTATTCTTACAACTTCTATTTAGCTTCTCTCTCAGCCTATAATATCTTTAACTTCTCTTAAATATCAATTTAATTTGTAATTCCTTTAACAGGACTTGAAGGAAGAGAAGCAATTCGTTATTTGGCCATAGGTTCACCTGGCAAGAAGAGTACTTTTGGAATCCTCAAACGACCCAATTATTATTATAAAGTTCCATTTTCATTTTATGAATGAGTTCTCATTATTTATATAAATATTATATTTTAACGCTAATTATTATGACAGATGAGATGTTTTTAGGATTAACTTCAATACAATAATTTGATGCAAAGTTAAGATAATTTCATTAGAAAAGACACTCAATGAGTTAAATTAGTACAGCACATAATTCTACATTAAAAAGTCGAAAATCTACAATAGGAGATGGAATTCCGATGGTTTCATTTTTAGATACTTTTGTTGAAAGAGTTCATTATTTAGTAACTCATTGTAATGAACCATCAGATAGAAATGAATGTGTTCGTATTGCTTTAGAATTAGGAATATCCTTTTATAAAGTATAAAGCCTTAGTTCTTAATAAGATAGAGAAGATTTCCTTATTAAATAACTATAAAATTAAGTATTTGATTAATTAAGATCATGGAATATGAAATTAGAGTAAAGAGAACTTTAACGCAATAAAACTAAAATAGTTTAAGAAAATGAAAATAATCTCAATATTTTTAATTGGGTTGAAATTCACACTAAATTTAGAAGTTTAAAGAAGAAACTTAAATTTGCTTTGATAGAAATTCTAAATTCGAAAGAAAATAGTAAAAAGATATATTCATCAGATAATATTACTTAGATAACATATAAAAAGCCTGATATGTAATCTATAATTGATGAATTAAATAATTTATTGCATAAAATAAAAAAGGAATCCAAAATAAGTACAAATATTTAATGGTCTAATGAAAAAGAAAGTGAATATAAATTGAAAAGAAATTCAGCCAAACATAGATTAGGTATGTTGGTAAATAGTAATTCATTTAATACTATCGGAATGGGTGAATATATCATAACACATGATAAAGAAAAATAGGATTAATAAAGAAGAGAAGAATTATTATTTAAATATGATAATTAATAAGCTATGACTGAAGATGAATTATTATATTTGGTAAATACAAGTAATTTATTAAATAAATGTTCAAACAAAAAGTAATTAATATTTTTAATATATTTATAGATTACTCTAAAAAGTAATTAATTAATTGGATTCTGAAGTAATAAGTGATATAGAATTAACAATAGCTGAGAACATATTAAATTAATACTATAAAGTTTCTAAAGAAATGAATTAGAGTCGACATCTATACTTAAAAGTAAATTAAAAGTCTAAAGATATAGAGCGATCTGAAATTAACATTCAATAAATCAATAAAGGAGATATTAAAAAATTAAAAGTAGAGTTATATATTTAATTTATAATAGTTCAAATTCCTGAAAATGCTAAGAGAAATGAAGGAAGATAGAAAGGATACTTTTAAAGAGAATACTGAAAAATATAGAATATTTTAATAAGAATTTAAAAAAGGAAATCCCATAGCAAATCCATTGGTATGGAAATTCAAAGATATTATGATGTCTATTTTAGAAAGAAAGGTAAAATGAATTTAAATCTAGAAAAGAGAAAGGAGAGAAAAGAAATTAGCTACTACAAATGAATCAAATAAGCCTATATTTCCATCTAAAACAGAAAGTTTAACACTTAAAGTAGTAATGAGAAAGACCCATCCAAGTTCAAAGGTAATTATTAAATCTTAGCCTAATTTACTTGGTAATACAAAGAATCCTACAAAAGTATAAGATTACTTACTAAAATTAAAAAAGAAAGATTATGAAATGAATAAATAAAATTTTTCTTAATTCTATTCAGGTGGACCTATAAGATAAAGACCTTATGCGCATTAATCATTAACAATAGAAGAAAGTGATACTACATTACCTTATGCAAATAAATGGATTACACCTGAGATCGAAATAGCTGCTGCTAATAAAATAAAAAAAGCATTAAAAGCTTATGTTTCAAAGAAAAGATTTGAAAAAGCTATTGCGTAAAAGAAATTTATAACTCCTTAACCAGCTAAATTTTATAGACTTGTTTAAAAATTAAATGAAAAAAGAAAATAAGTAGATATTGAAGAATGTTATAAAAGTTTAAAGATTGCATTACAATAATAATAATATAAAAAGAAAATAATACAGAAACCAAAAATTGATTATTCAAAAGTACCTATACCAAAAACTATGATTCAATTAAAATTAAAATAAAGAAAACTATTTTTAGCTTTAAAAGTAAATAATACTTAATGGGTGGATCATTCAGGATTTATTTTTGATACTAATGATGTAAATTGCTATGATATTGAAATGTATTGTCCATTGTATTATGCTGCAAAATAGTAGAGTATTCTATTCTGTAATTTTCTATTAATTAATGGTGCTGATGTCAATATGCCATGTAAAAATGGAGAAACTCCTACTTTTGCTGCTTTTGCTTCAGGTAATATTGTTATTATCAATTAATTTGTATCAAATGGAGCAGATATTGATAAATTAAATAATGAAGGAAAAACACCATTATGTTTTTGTTCAATAGAACTACTTAAAGAACTTAATTTATAATATCGTCCTTGTGTGATCAAATGAATACTATTGTTATATTTTTTGATAAATTTCTATTAATATGATATTTATATATAGCAATGCCAATTTTCAATCAGCATAATTAAATTATTTTACACGTAATGGATTAATCGTCCATAATTGATGAATCAGAATAGTCTCTAGAGTAATCCAGAAGAGTTGAACCAACTGTATCTGATAAAATGAAAAGAACTGAATCAGCTGCACTCAAATAAAAAATTATTGGGTAGATAATGTTCATGCATTAAAGTTAAGTTTCATTCGTGATGTGTAACAAAGCAAACTTTCAGTTGATTCATTACCTAATACTATTTAACAAAAAATAAGTGACTTTGAAGATGAATTTTAAGACTTATGGAAAGAATCTGATGAATATTTAAGAGAAAATGGAGAAGCCATTGAAAAACTTGTCATGAAACCACTTTGTTCTAAGTATATGCATCGATCTTCGATTTTAGATTAATCTCCATAGATCCTGTTAAGGATAGAGAAATTGAATTTTAAATGAAAGCATATTCATTTGTTTAAGCTAAACATCTTGAAATTGATGAAAATATTGAAAAACATAAAATGTTTAATTCAGTTGTCGAATGTATATTATTAATATATTTTTAGTAATCTCTAAAATTGATAAAGTAGAAACTCCAAGAGAAAAGCTTAATTGTATTGTTAATGCAGGTAAATAAACAAGTGGTAATTTATACATCTCTATTCTATAGCTATTGTTAATTAAATGGCTAATAATTAACCAACTGGTGCTGATAATCTTTTACCTGTTTTAATTTATGCTACTCTCAAAGCATAACCATAAAAAGCTTATTCTAATATTTTATTTGTGAGTTATTATAGATCACCTAAAAGAATAACTGGAGAGGATGAATATTATTTTACTACTTATGAATCAACTCTATAATTTATAGAAAAAATTGATTATCATAAATTAAATATCAATCCTTAAGAATTTTAAGAACTTAGCAAAGAACGTTTAGATACAATTAAAAATTCTTCTAATGTAATCCAATTTTATCATATTACTATAGGAATTATCTCAAAATGGAGTTTTTAATATGGATGCACATCAAAATTATGTCAATTTATAAATGATTAAAATGAAAATCTAAGATCTTCAACGTAAATCTAAATTTTATGAATAATCTAAAAAATATAGATTAAAATTCAATTAGAAATAGTTAAATGTATAATCATAAATTATATTTTTTAGAATATTACTTTGAATGAAATCCCTGACTTTTACGATGAATATTAAAATCTATACAAGAATTTGATTGAAATGTAAAAAGATATTCATAATCTTTATGATCTGACAAATGAAATAATTAAAGAAAGCCAAAGTGAAACTAAAAAGACAGCGACTAGAAAATTCTTTGGAATTCTTTGAATAATTATATATATTATATTGTAAATAATGAATACAATTCTTTATAATATCGTTTATTTTTCATGCTCAAATCATTTATACTCAAAAGAGAAATATTTCATTTTTTATTTTCAAAAGCAATAACCTAATCATTAACAATGAAACTTATATTTTAACTTAGTAAATATTTTAAAAAACCCAATCTCTTGGCATAATCAATAAACTCTAGTTTTACATACATTCAGAAAATATAAATATATAAAGATTTCACTTAAGCATAATTTTAAATAAAATATGAGAATAAGAAGCTAAAAATTTAGATGCTAAGTTCTTATACTTTTGGCAATTGTTATTTTTTATGATTAGTATATTTCTTAACAAATTATGGTACTATTAATTATTGTTTTTTGAAATATATATCCGTTTTCTTTAATAAGAGAAGTATATGTTTTTAAAAATAGATTGCATATTAGAATATGTTTGAAAAATTCATAATTAATTATAGTAAGACCAAGAATAAAATTAAATTATGAGATACACGCAAAAAGTTAGTAAGAAACAATTAGAATATTTAAATAAAGCAAAATTTGAATATACTTTATTTCAAATTAAATAGAATAAAACGAGTAAGATGAAATTTAAGAAAAAAATATTTAAAATAAAAATAGAGAGAGTTACTAGCTAAAATTGAAAATTATTATGGGGTGTACATAGAAGTAAGTTATTGATAAACTCATTAAATAATAATTGATACAATAGAAAGAGTTTAGATTAAATTTAATAATAGATATGATAGAAAATATAAGAATTAATGAAAATTCAAAAGAAGATTTAATGACTTTAAATGAATAGATTATAAATTTTAATAAATATTGAGCATAAATAAATTTAATCTATCAATTATAAATTTTTGGGTTATTTAAGAAAACATCTGTAACTCTAATTATATTTTCAGTGGAATCTTTTTCTAATTTAAAAACTTAAACACGTTCACCAAACTTCTGTTCAATTAATTTAACAAATGTTTGATATTTGGTAATTCTGGATTTGAGTAATTATTCATTATGAATCTTAATAAAAAAATGACAATTACTTAAAAATTTGATAATCTATCTAATAATGGTTTATTATTTAAAGGTACTTTCTCATATTTAATTTTAGTGAGAGGATCTATTTTAAGTTATTTAGATTTATTAATTAAGACATCCTCGTCTTCATTGAGAACAACAAATAAATTAACATGTTATGCTTCTAAGAATTTTAATTATGCTTCATTTTTTGGAAATCCTTCTAAAACCCATCCTTTAGTTCTAGCTTCAGTAGAAAGTACTTCAGTATAGATAATACTATTCATAATATCATTAGGTATTTCTTCTTCATTTTAAAGTGTATTATAAATGAGCGGACCTAATGCTCCTTTATTTTGAATTTATGTTTAAATGATATCAAAAGTAATAAGTTATACTAGGCCATATCTTTTACTAAAGATTTATGCTAATTGATTAGCTCTTTCTTTTAAACCAGGTGGTCTAATAATTGCAACTCTTGGAAATCTAAGAGGAGGAAACTTCCTATCTCTTAAACGAATAATCTATTTAATATTTTCAATAATGTCTTCTTTAGTTCTTTTTGATGTATTAAATATATCCATATAAGATCCATAAATATATTCTAGATCTTTCTTATTTAATCTATCTCTAGTCAATGCTTTAGTGACTTCTTCTTAGGTTTATGATATTTATTCATAATATTATCTGCAGAAATCTATATCACTTTCTAAATAAAAGAATCTAAAATATGAATTATTATGATTACTATACCTTTCTTATATGATTCCTAAAGATTATAAATAATATGCCTATTTAATATTATTAGGATATCCAGATATAACAATTCCTCTAAAATGCTTTTCTGTTTTTNTACATAGAAGTAAGTTATTGATAAACTCATTAAATAATAATTGATACAATAGAAAGAGTTTAGATTAAATTTAATAATAGATATGATAGAAAATATAAGAATTAATGAAAATTCAAAAGAAGATTTAATGACTTTAAATGAATAGATTATAAATTTTAATAAATATTGAGCATAAATAAATTTAATCTATCAATTATAAATTTTTGGGTTATTTAAGAAAACATCTGTAACTCTAATTATATTTTCAGTGGAATCTTTTTCTAATTTAAAAACTTAAACACGTTCACCAAACTTCTGTTCAATTAATTTAACAAATGTTTGATATTTGGTAATTCTGGATTTGAGTAATTATTCATTATGAATCTTAATAAAAAAATGACAATTACTTAAAAATTTGATAATCTATCTAATAATGGTTTATTATTTAAAGGTACTTTCTCATATTTAATTTTAGTGAGAGGATCTATTTTAAGTTATTTAGATTTATTAATTAAGACATCCTCGTCTTCATTGAGAACAACAAATAAATTAACATGTTATGCTTCTAAGAATTTTAATTATGCTTCATTTTTTGGAAATCCTTCTAAAACCCATCCTTTAGTTCTAGCTTCAGTAGAAAGTACTTCAGTATAGATAATACTATTCATAATATCATTAGGTATTTCTTCTTCATTTTAAAGTGTATTATAAATGAGCGGACCTAATGCTCCTTTATTTTGAATTTATGTTTAAATGATATCAAAAGTAATAAGTTATACTAGGCCATATCTTTTACTAAAGATTTATGCTAATTGATTAGCTCTTTCTTTTAAACCAGGTGGTCTAATAATTGCAACTCTTGGAAATCTAAGAGGAGGAAACTTCCTATCTCTTAAACGAATAATCTATTTAATATTTTCAATAATGTCTTCTTTAGTTCTTTTTGATGTATTAAATATATCCATATAAGATCCATAAATATATTCTAGATCTTTCTTATTTAATCTATCTCTAGTCAATGCTTTAGTGACTTCTTCTTAGGTTTATGATATTTATTCATAATATTATCTGCAGAAATCTATATCACTTTCTAAATAAAAGAATCTAAAATATGAATTATTATGATTACTATACCTTTCTTATATGATTCCTAAAGATTATAAATAATATGCCTATTTAATATTATTAGGATATCCAGATATAACAATTCCTCTAAAATGCTTTTCTGTTTTTTTCAATTCTGAATGAATGAATTCATTTACTTAGTCATCATTCACCCAATGAGATTTAAAGTGATCTTCTACAGTGATTACTTTGTAATTAAATAAATTAGCAAGTGATATTACTATTTCCTATCTTGTTGTAGCTACTACACCTGTCACTAAAATAAGCCGTTGCATTCTTCTATTTTCAAGCACATCTATTAAGAATGTCATAGGATCCTAAGGTTTTGATAATACTAGCAATCTTGTCAGATTTTCAAATAAATCAGTCATCTTATGCTCTTTTATGTATGCTTCTACTTTTTATTGATATTCCACTAATTCACTTGTATTCATTTAATTAATATATAAATTTTATAATAAATTCAAATTATTATTAATATTAATACAATCAATACACTCAATTGTATTATCCAATCACAATATAAAATATCAACACTCCCACAATCTACTTTATTCACTTAATTTATTTATTCTTAACTTGGACATTAATCCTATCCACTTAATTTTATGCAAGGTATTTCCTATTATATACTTATTGCTAAACCACTTCCTATCTCGTTTTCTAATACTCTTCCAATAAATTTAGTATTTGATAATTTTGATGACATATATAATTCACCTTTATCAGCTATAAATGGTAAACTTAATTAAAGAATAGTTTATCCTGGACTTTATTTCTCAGACATAGGTTTGAATCTCTTAACTAATTAGTTACTTTTAAATGTTAATTCATAATCATGTGAGTACCAATCTTAAAATCCAGCTTCTGTTATTAAACTCATCAAATAAACTGGTCTGTTCATTGTAAAATTAGACATCTCTTAAATAATCTAACAATCTGTATCATTACAAAATCTTATTTCAGTCACAATCTTTTTTATGCACTCTCCTAAAATATTGCATGAAACCTAATCATCCAAAATTTAATCATTAAAGTGGGTCTCAATCAAATTATTACTATTATCAATCACAATTTGAAAATCAAACATATATTACAGAATTAGATAATTTTTTACAAAATAATCTATTGTGTAAAATCCATTATATATTGATTTATCTGATTATTTATCTTAATATAATATAGAATCCCAATTACTTTATATTTAATATAACAATACCTAATCCAAAAACTCCATTTTCTCTTCTTCTCAACATAAGAACTATTCATTTAGCTATCATCCTTAGTTTCATGTACATAATTCATTTCATATCGATATAATTCATCTTTTATACATGATTCATTATTATCTCTATTAAATACCCCATCAATTTCATCATTAAATTCTATTTCAATCCCATATTGCTATTACTTTTTAACTACTTTTCCTTTCATATCTAATGATAAAAATCTTTTTCCACTTGGCTTCTTTTTGGAGGTTATTTTTTCAATATATTTTTAACATGACTTTGCTATGCACTAATTTTTGAAATTATACTCATCTTCTGGACAGATTTATTGACCTTTCACAAATATAATTAATGAATATACAATTATTATTAATTTAATCATTAATTTTTGATATTAAAAATTGAGACTCAAACTAATATTTAAATTGAATAATTTTACTTTTAAAATATCTTATTAAGTTTCAAACTCTTAAAATTACATACCTTTATATAATCGTTCATTTTATTAGTACATATAATTTCTTTTCCTAAACTATACAAATTCTTATTTTTCAAGTTTGTATATAATTTTAATTGACTAGATAATAAAATTGGGTAATTTAAATCCCTTCTAAAATTTCTTTAATATTTATATTTTTTTTATCAAATTTTCATACTAAATATGATTGAGGAACTAAAAGCTTTTTTTCATGAGTTCTTAGAGAAATCATTTAAAGAACTTAATATTAGAATAGATAATTTAGAAAAATAAATAGCTCATAATAAAAAGGAATAATAAAGCTTGAATCAAAAATCAGATTCTATTCATGAAAATTTCACAAATTTAAAATATTAATTCTAATCTTTACTTGAAGAATTGAATTCCGCTTAAACTTAAGCAAATCAAATAATTGATAAAATATCTTCTCAAAAACATTTTAATACTCTTCTCTTTCAAAATCCACTCAATAACTTTAATTGGGAATCAAATATGAACTACCAAGAGAAAACAGAAGATTTAAATAATATTCATTAGAATTATCCATAAGGACATAAATAACAGCCAATAAATCCGAAAAAGGTTGTTTAAAATGGAGATATTATAGTTTATAAAACAATTACAGGAAAAAAGTATCATCAAGCAGGATGTGAATTTTTAGCTTGTTCAAAAATACCTACAACAATAAGGGAAGCAATGAAAATCGGGATGGCTCAATGTAAAATATGCTTAGGATGAATTATGAGAATGATTGATATAATAAAATTTGCAATATTGATAGAATTTTAATAACATATGACATCGTTTAATTATTATTTTTTCTTTGTAAATTTAAGATATAAATAGTACATCATGATGCATTTTATTAAATTAAGGTATGATGTGCAAAAGGTTTGATTATAATTCAATAATGAAAACGTAATACAATTATTTTTATTAATTTCATTATGCATAACTATTCTTCTTTGACAAAGAATTAAATTTAGCGATTAGAAGAAAAATATTACATTATTCTTGCTGATAATTCTAAAATATCAAATTCAAAAGTTTAGGATGTAATTGAAACTTCAACTAATGATCCATAATTAGATTAATAATGGAATTAAGATTATTGTAATGTGAAGAATTCTTTTACTACTTATCAAAACTTGTATTATATTAATTAACTTAAGCTTTTTGGAGAGATTTAAAATTGTAATGTTAGGTATAATAACAACATTTGTTTTAAGAGCACTTATTGTTTTCAATAAATAAGACTTGTCTAAAGTTGATATATTCTCATTAATTGCATTAATTAGTAGGTAATTAATTAATAATTTAGCTATTCCTTCTTAATCATATCAATTAAAGCTTTGCAACTCAGAGAAAAGAAATAAAAATAAATTATTAAATTGCACAACGTCACAAGTATAATTGCATTGATATTTATTATTTTTTGTAATATTTGTATGTTCCTTTCAAAAAATTAAGACAGTTAAAAGTATATTGATTTAAAATAAATTAGAACTTTGGTTTTATCCTGTTTTCTAGCTACTGATGTCTTGATTTATAACTGGACCTATTTAGAATAAAGATATAGCAAAAGATTGATAAAATTATTAATGAAAATTAAAGAACATTTATGAATAAATATATTATTATAATATCTGACTAAGCTACTAACTCTCTCAACTATATGATCAATAAAATAAATGTTAGAGCAGAAAAATTAATAATTATTGGAGTAATTAATTTCTTCAAAAAGCTTAAACATGGATGAGTCATTTAATAATGTCCATCATATTAAAAAACTATTATAAATTACGCGTCAAACAGATTAATTGAAAACAATTAAAAAACTATTAAAAGCCATTTTTACCTATAAAAAATGTTGAAAGTAATAAATTCACAATTAATTAATCATTAAAATATTCAATTTGAATATTATTGAGGCTTTTAAATAAATAAACTTAAAATTTTATTTACATATCAAAATAAACAAAACCAAGCAAAAAATATTTTGGAGAAATTTTTTTCCTATTCTAAACTGAAAAATTTTAATTCTGGAATTATTTTCTTTGAATTTTCAATAATTATTATCATTTTCCAAAAAGTACTCCCAAAAGCTAAGATTAAAATGAACATTGTAAAATAAAAGCTTCATTAAATAAATTACAATTTTTTTATGAAAATTAATTTTTATAGTTAAAAACTACATACCATTTATAAAAAAAATGGTAATATTTAGGGAGAGCAAATGTATAAATTAAATCTAAATTCTTGCATAGTATAGATAATAAGTTTTTTCAAATGTGTTTGTTAATTTCAAATATTAATTGTAAGCAACGAAATTTCGAAATTCAAAAAAATTATTAATTGAATTTAAAAAATAAAGAAATAATATGAGATACTAACTAACATTACATAAATTTATAAATTATAATTTAAAAATAGAATTTGGCATTTGTAAGTTGTCAAATGTATTTGAAGCATCTCCATCCACAAACTATTGAAAAATACTAAGATTAATGTATATACTTTACACCCTAGAGTATTTGAATAAATATATTTTATTTATTTAAGTTGAACCATTTAAAGCTCAATGGATTTGATGCTTAATTATAATTATTATATCGAAGCACAATAAAGTTGCAGTAAATGCGATTTTAGGTTATCTATAAATCATTATATTTTTAGTTTCATTATGGATATTCCTAAGAATTATCACTCTTATCTGTACTTCAAAAACTTAGATATATAAATATTATTATTATTCATTTCAAATGGGAAATAAGTAATCAAATGAAAAAAAAATATAAGAGTCTTAAATTTCAGTAAATTAATCTTAGCTCTCAGCTCGTGAAAGTTAATTAAATACATCTAATTCAAATTAGAGTAATTATGCAAAAAAAGAATAAATTGCATAAGAATTATATTTTCCATCTTCTGATGATTGTCCATCAAAAATAAACATAACTTTAGGTGGAATAAACTTTTGGAGTAATTACGACTCTGGGAATTTGTTTAAAGTGGAATAAGTTGAAACAAACACATTTAATCTAAGTATTTCAGAAGATTGTCAAGGTAGAATTCCTCCAGTGTAGTCAAACAAAGGCACAAGATAATGGTTTAATTTTAAAGTTGTTACTGCTTCAGATTTTTAAGCAAACTTTGTGATTGTAAATATTGCGACAAGATTTAAAAAAATTTGGAGTGCTGACTCAGACATTTATTTTAAAATCAATAAAATCTGGAATAGATATCCTGCAGTTTATCAAGGCTTTTAAGTCAAATTTTCATTTGAATTTTAAGCTAATTAGATTGTGTAGTTTGCTTATATGCCACCTTGGTCTTACAAAAAGAATCAAAAGTATTTAGACTTTTATTCATCTTAATTGCATCCTGATATCTACTTCAGAAGAGAGACTATTGCACATTCGTTAGAAGGAAGAAATATTGAATTAATTACTATTACCAAAAATGGACCTTCCGAATAGCAACCATATTATTGCACTGAATATTTATTCCCAGAAAAATAATTTAATGAACCTTTAAAAAAATTCAAGAAGCAATATATTTTGATCTCGTGTCGTATTCATGCAGGAGAAGTACCTTCATCATTTATTTTGAAAGGAATTCTTGAATCGCTTAAGAATTAAAATGAATCTGCTGAATATTTACTTTAAAACTATGTTTTTTTAATCATTCCAATGTTAAATCCTGATGGAGTTTATCGTGGACATTATAGATTAGATTCTTTAGGATATGATCAAAATAGAGTTTACAATAGAATTGTAAAATTTCCAAAATTTAATGGTCCTTTAGCTGTTTTGGAAATTTGCAAAAATTATAATGTTGCTTTCTACATTGACCTGCATGCCCATAGTGTACTAACTAACAGCTTTATTTATACAAATTGGCATCCAAATCCATCCATTCATTCAGCAATTTTAGTAGATTATATATTTATTATTAGGAATTTCCTAAATAAATGAAATAAAAAGTTCATCATTTTCGTATAAAGGAATCAATGTCAACTTCAATAAATTATGAAAAATCATAATATGAATTTGAAGGAATTTATACAGAAAAAGAAGAAAATATTTAAAAAGCTCCTGACCTCAAAATTCACATTACTAAAGAGAATCTAGTACCTCAAAATATGACTAGTGATTGTCCATTTTCAACTAATCCATATTTGACAGGAGTTGCTAAATCTGATGTTTACCTAACTTCATCAAATATGTTTAGTTATACTTTAGAAGTTAACTATAGATATTATACTAAAAACAAATAAGTGTTTAAATATGAAATCAGTGATTTTATTAACTTAGGAAGAGATGTCGTTGAATCACTATATTCAGTTCATCAAAATTAAGATTTTATTTAAATAAAATCATAACTCGACGGTAGTATATTTAACTGACAAAACCATTTTTAATTAAATATAAATAAAATTTAATTAATGAAAAGAATCCTAATTTGCTTGCTTTTCATATCTTTAATATCTTGCAGGGCAGTCAATTATCATGAAGAAGATAAAAAACAAGTTCCTGATGCAACTAAAAAAGATGATACTAAAACAGAATAACCTAAGAAAGAGGAACCTAAGTAGGCTGAACCTAAAAAAGATGATGCTAAAAAAGAAGAACCTAAGAAAGAGGAGCCGAAGAAAGATGATGCTAAGAAAGAAGAGCCAAAGAAAGAGGAGCCAAAAAAAGAGGAGCCAAAGAAAGATGATGCCAAAAAGGAAGAGCCAAAGAAAGATGAGAAAAAAGATGATACCAAAAAGGAAGAGCCAAAGAAAGAAGAGCCTAAGAAAGAGGAGCCAAAGAAAGATGATGCCAAAAAGGAGGATGCTAAGAAAGAAGAAAAGAAAGACGATGCCAAAAAAGAGGATGTTAAGAAGGATGAAAAAAAAGATGAAAAGAAAGAAGAGAAAAAAGATGAAAAGAAAGATGAAAAGAAAGATGAGAAGAAAGATGAGAAGAAAGATGATAAGAAAGATGATAAGAAAGAAAAGAAAGATGATAAAAAAGATGATAAGAAAGAAAAGAAGGATGATAAGAAAGATGAGAAGAAAGAAAAGAAGGATGATAAGAAAGATAAAAAAGACGAAAAGAAGGATGATAAGAAAGACAAAAAGGAAGACAAGAAAGATAAGAAGGAAGATAAGAAAGATAAGAAGGAAGATAAGAAAGATAAAAAGGAAGATAAGAAAGATAAGAAGGAAGATAAGAAAGATAAAAAGGAAGATAAGAAAGATAAGAANAATAAAAAGTTCATCATTTTCGTATAAAGGAATCAATGTCAACTTCAATAAATTATGAAAAATCATAATATGAATTTGAAGGAATTTATACAGAAAAAGAAGAAAATATTTAAAAAGCTCCTGACCTCAAAATTCACATTACTAAAGAGAATCTAGTACCTCAAAATATGACTAGTGATTGTCCATTTTCAACTAATCCATATTTGACAGGAGTTGCTAAATCTGATGTTTACCTAACTTCATCAAATATGTTTAGTTATACTTTAGAAGTTAACTATAGATATTATACTAAAAACAAATAAGTGTTTAAATATGAAATCAGTGATTTTATTAACTTAGGAAGAGATGTCGTTGAATCACTATATTCAGTTCATCAAAATTAAGATTTTATTTAAATAAAATCATAACTCGACGGTAGTATATTTAACTGACAAAACCATTTTTAATTAAATATAAATAAAATTTAATTAATGAAAAGAATCCTAATTTGCTTGCTTTTCATATCTTTAATATCTTGCAGGGCAGTCAATTATCATGAAGAAGATAAAAAACAAGTTCCTGATGCAACTAAAAAAGATGATACTAAAACAGAATAACCTAAGAAAGAGGAACCTAAGTAGGCTGAACCTAAAAAAGATGATGCTAAAAAAGAAGAACCTAAGAAAGAGGAGCCGAAGAAAGATGATGCTAAGAAAGAAGAGCCAAAGAAAGAGGAGCCAAAAAAAGAGGAGCCAAAGAAAGATGATGCCAAAAAGGAAGAGCCAAAGAAAGATGAGAAAAAAGATGATACCAAAAAGGAAGAGCCAAAGAAAGAAGAGCCTAAGAAAGAGGAGCCAAAGAAAGATGATGCCAAAAAGGAGGATGCTAAGAAAGAAGAAAAGAAAGACGATGCCAAAAAAGAGGATGTTAAGAAGGATGAAAAAAAAGATGAAAAGAAAGAAGAGAAAAAAGATGAAAAGAAAGATGAAAAGAAAGATGAGAAGAAAGATGAGAAGAAAGATGATAAGAAAGATGATAAGAAAGAAAAGAAAGATGATAAAAAAGATGATAAGAAAGAAAAGAAGGATGATAAGAAAGATGAGAAGAAAGAAAAGAAGGATGATAAGAAAGATAAAAAAGACGAAAAGAAGGATGATAAGAAAGACAAAAAGGAAGACAAGAAAGATAAGAAGGAAGATAAGAAAGATAAGAAGGAAGATAAGAAAGATAAAAAGGAAGATAAGAAAGATAAGAAGGAAGATAAGAAAGATAAAAAGGAAGATAAGAAAGATAAGAA